CGTTTATTAAATAGTATCAGTGGGAGCTGGGAGAGACGGAGTCTGGGTGAATAACCCAGCCATCGAATTATAGACTCGCCATGGCCAGTATTGATTTAGTATTAAGTAGAAAAGATGCAGTCAATTCGATGAAAAATCCACCCTATATTAGCACCACCTGACCCACATGATGATTGTGTTGTTGTTGATCATCTCGCGCGAATGTAGATGTTGATTTGCGGCAGGTCGCGTATTTGCGTATGGGTGGTGGTACTGGTGGTGGTGGTGGTTCGGTTCTTTTATTTTGGTGGTCTTGGACGAGGTCTGACCAAACTACATCGTCCGTCTATAACCTTGATTCATCGCGTCAATGACCGAGAGTTCTACCTGTCCAAACATACCCAACCGACCGTACGATCCTACGATCTGAAGGATCAGACGATCACTAGGCGATGCACTCTCTTTTGTTTGCCTGGACAGGACATCTTTGGCAGGTCGGTGCATTGTTTGTGAAGACGATCACCTGCGCAGCTGTTCAACAGCTGGCTTTCGTCCATCTGCTTCCGCACATGTTGATATTATCTAACAACTTGACTATCGAACTTTTTATACATCATCTATACACGATTTCACCATTTTTATACCCAAACATCTTAACACTATTTCGAAACGAAACATTCTCCGATGATCCACACCACAAACATACGACCGCTGAGATTTCTTCAATTCACGTATCAAATATCCGAATATCACCACTAATGATACCATAAATAGAAATATCACTTAAAATTAGGAATGTTTTTGTTGATATCAATTTATGAGTTTGACCTCAATTCAATATTAGAATCGAAATATCAATAATATTTATGTTTCTCATGTTTTTATTTATGGTTTATTTCAATAAGAAAACTTTTTTCCAGAAACACCAAAAATATGTACAGGGTGTTTACAGTCTTGAGGTTGAAATTTAAATGAGATGATATTCACGGTAGAAGAAAAGTAATAATAATAAATTATTCATTTTACACTATTTGTTTGAGAACTGCTGCTTTGGCTGCAACAATGGCCATTGGTATCATTACCTTGTGTTTCACCGTAAATCATAATCACGACAACCAATTTATTATTTTAATATTTTTTGCCATACATGTTCATAAATATGGAGAAAAATTAAGAAAAACGAATCAAACCTATTCGCTGAAAGAGATTAAACAGAAGATCTTCGAATTTTGATAAAAACTAAAGCAAAAGCAAATCAAATGATGACAGTGTCAAATCTATGAAGTGACTTTTCTCTTTCATTATCATACGATTTTTTTTATTTGTTGCAACAATACAATTTTATGTTAACAAGGTAATAATTCCAGTGACCCTCAAACCATGTACCAATATTTTGGAGTTAAATAACATTCTGGCTAATAACAATTGTGTGAGTTTTTTTCTCGATTACAGTATTTCTGTACTTTTCTATTACTTGCTCAATTTTCAACTCAAAGACTGTAAACACCCTGTATAAATATCAGTACTTGTAGGTATATCCCCAAAACGAAAAATTAATTGAAATATATTTATCAATTTCTATAGCCGATTATCAGTACTAATAGATCCATGAATAAAAATATCAGAGTAGCTGGCGTTCAGTGACACTACAATCAAAATTAATTTTGATGTAGATATGATTCTAATTTTTTTTTTAATTAGATATGTTTTAAAATTTAGCTCAAAGTAATTTTTTTCTAACTCTGATACAAGTGTATGTTGAAATTTTGGAATTTACCTTAAAAATATATAAAAACAAGTCAAATAATGTTTAAAGAGGTAAAAACACATTGAAATATTAAAACACAAAAGGGAATAAATTTCGTAATGTAACAAAACAAAAAAAAAAACATTTTAAGCTTACCTTCTGTGACACTACAATAAGAATTAATTTTCTTCTTGCAAAGACAATATGTAAACACATTTATTTGTAATCATTCTCTAACTCTGACACAAATTAAGCTCAAAAATAACAAAACAAGAAACATTGAAGAAACATTAAAATAAACAAGGGATAAAAATTTGGTAATTAAACAAAAATACAAAGTTTGCTTTCAGTGGCACTAAAATCAGAATTTATTTTGTTGTAAATATGTAAACGTATTTGTAAGTCTTCTCTAATTCTGATACAATTATAGAAGTTTTCAAATATAGCTAAAAATATATATAACAAAATAAGTGAAAAAAAAGCATTAAAACATTGAAACAAATAATAATAATTTTATAATGTAACAAAACAAATTAATTTATAAAAGATGGCGTTCAGTGACACTACAATCAAAATTAATTTTGTTGTAGACATAATTCTAATATTTTTCTTAATTAGATAAGTTTTGAAATTTAGACCAAAACAGACAAAAAACTTATTAAAAAAACTTTGAAATATTAAAACAAGAAAGGGATAAAAATTACATAATGTAATAAAATTAAGAAAAAAATAAAGTGTAGGAGCCTTTTTTTATTTATTTTTAATGTTAAATAGAAAAAAATAGATTTAGAGCTTTAATAACCATTATTTTAATAAAAAACATTAACTTTGAATTCTGTATTAAAATCGAGCAAAATTGGATTTAAAATAGCTCAAATTGTTTTATTTTGGAAGAAAACTTTTATTCAAAACATTATTTGTGTTGAAATATTTTGATTCAGTTTAATTTCCTGCTTAAAATAAAGCCAAACCGCTTGAGAATATCACAAATTACTTTATTTCAGCCTAAAATTCGGATTGAAGCAATTATTTTTATAAAATACATTAATTCTGTATTAACATCGAGAAAAATTGAATTGAAAATAGCTCAAATTGCTTTATTTTAGAAGAAAACTCTTATTCAAGATAGTATTTAGTTGAAATACTTTGATTCAGGTTGATTCCCAACTTAAAATTATTATCAATATTAGGATTTATTGATATTTCCCAATTTAATAAATTCAAGAAAAGAAATCTCTGCAAAAATTAGAACCGAAATTTTAGGGCCTGTTTACAGAACATATAATTTTAATTTGCCATTAAGACGTTTGATAATGCAATGTAAATTACAACTTAATTGGAATTAATTTAATTGGCTTTCTGTAAATCGTACTTATTTTTGTTTTTTTCAATGGAATTTTAAAGAGAAAGTATTTTTTTGCCTACAAAAATTAATCTTTAATAGCAAGAGTAGACATAAAACGGTCTTATCATCAATAAATATTAGGATTTACTGATATTTTCGAATATCAAATCTAGTAAAATGGGAAAAATATCTGCAAATAAATATTAAAACAGTAGTTCCAAGGCAAGTTTAGTTGTAATTAAATTTTACTTCGCCATTGATTGAATTAGTTTATCCTGAATTCATATTTATTCACTTTCTGTAAATCGATCTATAAATTACTTTTTATTATTTTTATTTTATTATTAATTATGAGAGTTTAAATATTACACTTGACTGTATTTATTTCTGTTGAAAAAATAATTTTTCAAGTTTTTTTTTGTTAGAAGAGAAAACAAGGATCTGTATCCTAAATTGTAACTCTGTTTAATGTTATTTCTGGCTTTTATTGTCAAAAAAACACATACTAGATCATCAGTATCATAAAAAATAACTAATGTCAAAATTTTTTGATGGAGAATTTTTTTTCTATGTTCCTGGTATCTTATCTTACTTGAAATTTTTCTCTGGGGCGCGAGTTCTGACACACTTTGTATTTCGATTTTTGATGAGATTTGGACACGTTTTATCCATAAAAATATTGTTTACACTTAATAAATTATCCTGGCAAAGACGTGTCCCAGAATTTCAGTTTTAATATAAAATGTTTTACCAAAATAACCAAACATTTGGGCCGTTTTCTTGTTTTAAAAAACTAGACCTTGAAAAGGAAAAATGCGTTGAAAGTTCTAAGGTGAGGCACTCGGAGTTATAGTTTTCGATTGATTAATGTGAAGTTATAATATGACTTGTCGTAAAATAAGTCGATTTAAAACCAAAGGGTGTCATTAAGATTAGAAAGTTATTTCAAACAAATACAGGTTGTCTCATTTAGAATTTCACGAGTCAATAATTCAAAAATAATAACATTTTCCATTAAAGCACTTCGATAATGTATGCTGTGCATTGTTGACGTTGAAATAAACAACAAATACAGTTACTTTACCAGTCAAGATAGCCGTGACCATGAACCAAGGTTTTACTGAACACTGGTCAAAATTTTTTATGCAGCTCGGTAATTTTAATTTCTCTAACTTGGCATTAATAAATTGCTTCATTACTCGACCTAACTGCAGTAATTAGCAAAATTATATGTCACAATTAAACTAGTTTTAACTTTTCCTCGAGTCAGCTAATTATATTGGACAATGTTTAGTAACGGGAATTGAAAAACTCAAAATCAGTGTTTGTTTTGCAACTCTCCATAAAATCGGTGCCCAACAGCAAATAAAATTTTACGGCATAACTTCGCTAAAGAAAACCGTTATCTAATAATTCTTCCGTACTTACAAGTTATGTACTTCTTTGTTTGTACGTTAATAATTATCATTTTACCGATTGAGAAATTTATAAATTATTGTTCGTTGACAGTTTGATAGATCTGTGTCGACTTTTACTATTCATGGTGAAAAAATTCCATTTTCAATGGGTCATTGATTCAGAACGAGACAAACAACACCAATAAGGTCTTCATTTGCATACTTACATACTATTGCTATCTGTTTGTAGCATTTTCAAATTTCAAAATGAGTCAAAACAAATTTTTTTTGTCCATCGTCTGGGGCTAAATTTTGTGAATATTTGGATTACATCCAAGCACATAAAATTGCAATTCTGTTCCACCTCACGTTCGAGTTGGGTTCAAGGGCGTGTTGAGGAAATTAATCCATAAATAAACCACATGAATACTAATTATCTCTTGCGAAAATTTCATAACCGTACTTGAATTTACCTTCATTGAGGGCAATAAATCTAAGGTCATCTTCTAAAGTTGCATTTTTTTTGTTGCAGGGCAGTCAAAGCGTTTCAACAACTCCTCTATGTGTCTCCAAGTTTCCAAAGAGCTAACGAAGTCCATTTACGTCTTGGGTTGATGTTTAAAGCAACACAAGAGTACGAATCTGCCCTTAAACATTTACAATTAGCTCTAGTCGATAACAGTCCGTGTACGACACCAAAAAGTATCAGTGAGTATTAAAATGTCTTTTTGCAATCGACAAATCAGTTTCGCGGAAATAACGGTGCAAAATTTTAAAAATCATTCCACACGCACAAATGTGCCGTTAATTACTGATAATCTGGAATGATTTTCATGCATGTCGCATGTATTGTCTTGCAAGAATTCACAGAACTTTGTTGAGATTCAAAATTCACGTTTATTAACGTTTTTATCTGATTTGCGTGTAGGATGACCAGTTTAGTGTTTTCAGAAATTCATTTATCTCACTTTTAATTTTTTTTTCCTGCTATAGTGAGATCAGGGTGGTAGGTATTCAACTACCAATAATAAACACCTGCGCTATTTTCCTTACCTATTTAAATTTACATTGATTGTCGATATTTTTCCCAACAAAATTGACATTTTTTATTAATACTAACCCAACTGGGTCACAAATTTATTTACTCATGCGTTATATTAGGGTTATATTATCAGATAAAATGAAGTCGTCAAGGCTGTATGATAATTAAAAGGAGTCAGCTGTGATTTTGATTTAAATTGCTTGCGTGCCTATCAGAAATCAGCATTTAGGGAAATTGTGTCTCACATATGTGCTAACAATGATCGTGCATTCACAAATTATGATTAAATTCAAATTTAATTTGAAAAATCTTGTGGCTTCTACGCACGTTAAAAAAAATGAATGATGACGATTCTAGTACTCACCATTTATTATCTTTTCGGTAAACATTCTAATAATAGTATGAGCACGATAACCTTGCGAAAAAATGACGATCTAAACTAGGTCATCAACTTGATACAAAGTCGATACCACCGACGTCAGACATTTTCGAATTTTTATTATTATAATTTGGGTAATAATAATATTTAGTCAGTTTGCTGAGTGTGTTTACTGCGTGTATTTAACTTAAGTCTTTGCGCGTTTTTTTCTTTTTTCCCCATTGTTCTTGTGTAAACTTTGAAATTATTTCTTAAGTGTTGGTTAAATATCGTACAAATCCCAGTTTTAAGCAATTGCAAAACTGACCTGGGACAATAGCAAACGCATAGTCTTAGATTTAGCCTTGACATAGTTCCTTGTATACTTTTACCAACAGCAAAATATTCCGCAACGTGGCACGAAATTTAAACCTCTTCACGGTCAAAATACTGTGCAAAATTTAACCGGTTTTTAACAAAACTGCACCGGAAATCAAAACTCATTAGTCAATTTTCGCTAAAATATACACTCAAATACCTTGTCATTGTTTAACCGAGTGGATAATTATTCATTCTCTCGTGATTTAAGAGGAATGCTGGGGTTTACACGTGATTAATATCGACAGTCTATTTTTTTATGCATAAAGGAAATAATTTCATGCACACAGGTGCTTCGGTGGCCCTAATTTGAATTTATTTTTACATAATACAGGTGTTGGGTTTAAGCGGGTGTGTAAACGCTGAATAACTAACCAACTAACCCTAATTGTTATTTTTAATTAATTATAACTAAAGTAATGGTACTTAGGTGTATTTTTTGGATTTGAACAAAAAAGAGGTAAATTTGAAACGTTGTCTGTGCTTCATGTTAAATTATTTTAATTTAAAATTTGACATAGTTTTTGATGGTAATTTAAATGTCCCCTGTACTAAAAATAGTCTGTCTAGACTTGATTCGGCCATAAAATGAATAATTTGATTCAATCGAAACTCAAAAATAATTTATGGTTGTTTCAAACAACTGAAATAAAACCACCAGAAATATTTTTTTTTCAGATTAACATAAGTGTTGTAACTAATCTAATTGAATAATAACTATGTACACAAAGTGGCAGATTTGTCACCAAATATGTGTGTTTTAAATTGTATTTTATATAGACAATATAGTATTATACGTAACACAGGGCGACAAAAAAAGGGCATGTCGTGACAACTTGACTTATTTTCTATTTTGTTCGTCTCAGCACAATTTTTTTTTCAAAAAGTCCAAAAACTTTGAACTAAATAATTATTTTAAAAGATCTTGTATAAATAGGCCCAAAAACTTACTTATTTTCAGGGTTTTGAACTAAAAACGCACTTAATTTAAGAAATTTCGCCGAAAACAGACCAAAAATGATCGTTTTAGGACTGAATCAAAACAGAAACTCGCTTATTTCAAAATATTTTGAATTATGTTATTTTTTAATGTTTTTAGTGCGTTTTTTGTCAAAACAAGAAAAAAAAGGAAATCTGAAATTCGTTATTATTTCTTCTTCAATGAATTTACAGCGTGTTTCGCTGAGACACACAAAATTCCAAAGATATTGTCAAAAACAAAGAAGAAAAAATGAAAATTAATTTTTGTTGATTTCGATAGATTTAAAATGTTTTTACTGTGGAACTCCAAATTGAAAAAATCTTAAAATTTTTGTCAAAACAAAGTAAAGGAAATGCAAAATTAAGCCTCAAATGTGTTATTTATGCTTTTTTTTAATTCAAATAGTTTTTGTTATTAGAACAAAGAAGGTGACAGTGACCATTTTTAAGCAAAAACAAAGTCTTAAAACAAATACTTATATATAAAAATGCAATTTTAAGTAAGATTAACATGCATTTCTCCGATATGATTAGGAAACCACTTGGAATATTCTTTTAAATTTTATTTCGATTTACTTCGAAGTTCGCAAATATTAAATTTCAAATTGCATATTATTCTAAAGGACAAGTTCATCGCTTTAGAATGGTCTTTATTTAAAGAAAATCGGCATAATAGTTATTGAGTAATGTTTTTTTGAAGTCAAATCATTTTAAATTATAAATTAGAAAAAAAAAAATTAGTTCAAAGTTTTTGGACTTTTCGAAAAAAAAATTTGATTTGTCGCCCTGTATAATTACATTTTACGGATAATTATTTTGAAATAACTTTTAATAATTGKTTAGATAATGGTTTTAGGACTGAATCACCACGTTTTTAAAACAGAAACTCACTTGTTTCAAAATATTTTGCTTAAATAGAACAGAAATTCCTCGATCTAATTTAGAATTTTGCTATTTCAGACATTATTGAGCAATTTTTTAAGCCAAAAATTCAAAATATTTTGTCAAAACAGATCGATTAACCTCCAGGAAAGCAAAGAAAACAAAACTTTACACTCATTGCAAAACAAAGAATAAAAATTGCAAAATTAAGCTTAAAATATGTTGTTTTTTCATGTTTTTTAGCGCGTTTTTTGTCAAAACAACAAAAAAATTGAAGCAAATCTGAAATTCATTATTTTCTCTTACTTTAATGAATTTACAGCGTGTTTCACTGAGAAACATAAAATTCCAAAGATTTTGTCAAAACAAAGAAGAAAAAATGAAAATTAGTTCTGACGTGTGTAATTTTTGTTYATTTCGATAGATTTAAATGTTTTTTTACTGTGAAACTCCAAATTGAAAAAATCCAAAAGTTTTTGTCAAAACAAGGTGAAAAAAAAAGCAAAATTAAGCCTCAAATTTATGCTTTTTTTTAATTCAAACAGTTTTTGTTTATGCTAATTAAAACAAAGAAGGTGAAAGTGACTATTTTTAAGCAAACGCAAAGTTTTAAAACAAATTCTTTTATAAAAATGCAATTTTAAGTAAGATTATATGTTTGATTACTTGGCATATTCTTTTAAAAATTTGGATTTTAGCTAATAAAAAAAAAATACTCGTAGGTTTTTTTCTTAGATTATTTCGATTTACTTCGAACTTCTTCGAACACTGTTAAATTTCCATTCTAAAGGACAAGTTCATCGCTTTAGAATGGTCTTTATTTGAAGAAAATCAGCATAATAGTTAATAAGATGATTTTTTGAAGTTAAATTATTTTAAATTAATTTAAATTAGAAAAAATTTAATTAGTTCAAAGTTTTTGGATTTTTCGAAAAAAATTTAGTGCATTTGATTTGTCGCCCCGTTCACGGATAATTATTTTGAAATAACTTTTAATAATTGGTTACTAAATTTATAAATCGTTTTGAAATAGTTTGGTGACAGTCTTAAAACAAATCTAGTTATTAGTGACTAAAAGCGAAATAAATTCGATAATTGCGGTTTGATTGTTTTTGAAAAATGTGTGTTTTTGTTTCAGTAAAATTTCATATTGCTCATTTATTTGAAGTGCAAGGGAAAGTAAAGGGAGCGAAGGACCGATATGAGTTACTCCTGCGTGACAAAACAATTACTCAGACTCTTCGCGCTGACATTTTTCGCCAATTAGGTAAAAAAATGTGTTGGTTTGAATAATTTTCAAATGCAAGGCTTCAGGTTGGTTGTATCACTGTCATGATTCTTTGGGCGATAAAAACCAAAGGATACCTTTAGCAATCCATTGTTTGCAACGAGCACATGAGGCTGACCAATTTTCCGGTCAAACTCTCTATCTTCTTGGCCGATGCTACGCTAGTATAGGAAAAGTCCACGATGCTTTTATCGCTTATCGAAACTCGGTGGAAAAATCGGAAGGCAACGCCGATACTTGGTGCTCCATAGGGTAGATAAATGCAAAGTCTGGTGTGGCATTTTTGTTTTTTTTTTAATTTTATTTTCAGAGTGCTTTATCAGCAGCAGAGTCAGCCTATGGACGCATTGCAAGCCTACATATGTGCAGTACAATTAGATAAATGCCATTCAGCTGCTTGGGCTAATTTGGGAATTTTGTATGAAAGCTGTGGACAAGCTCGGGACGCTTACGCTTGCTATTTGAATTCAAATCGAGGATTATCGAATAGGAATTCAACCGAGGATACTTTTCTTCCCTCGAAACTACCACGGTTTTCGACGGTGGGAATGAACCCACATTTGTCGCAAAGAATCAACTTTCTTCAGTCGAATTTAGCAAACGCACCAATGCCTAGCGCGACGAGCCAGTAAGTTTTTTTTTTAAAAATTAAATTCTTTTTGATTAGCGATTACGAGAGGTTTTCTCGCTTGCAAAGTCTTTCTGACCGACACTGATCATGCGCTAAATTATCGAGATTGGTGGAACTGGTCCTATGTTGAGAAAGATAGATGATTTGGGAAAATCGAGCTGCATAAAGCGATTACATTATTTCCCGGGTCGCGAAATGAAATTGACTGGGGGAATAAAAAATTCGTTTCATGGATTTAAACTTTATTATTTCTCATAGGTCAAACGTCCTGTTTAGTTTAACGGATTCGCATACACATTATTCTTCCGTTATTGCCGGGTTAACTGCCTTTGTTAATTACATTGGACAAGTTGAGCTGCTTCCGCAGGCGGACGAACTTTTATTGTCTCCAGATTTACTCTTTATATTGCTAGTTCTGTTATGTTGGCAATTTTAATTTTAGAAATAAAGTTTTTGCTCGTAATTTTGTATTTTTCTGGAGAATAACGAAGGGGGGCAAAGACGAGAGGGATTGAAGTGAAAAAAAAACTTAAGAGATAAAACTTGAAATAATTGGAAAAACAAAAAAAAAACTGAAAATATGTTTATAAAATAATCAGAAAAGCTTCAAATAATATCTATCACAAATTGTTCTGTCGGTATATGTGACGCCTGAAGCGTTTAAAAAAAGAAAAAACTTGAAGTAAAAAATAAAGCACTTCCAAAAAAAATATATTATGTAGGTTTAGTTGATATAACTATAAAACATGACAATAGGGAAATATCTGACCTTGAATGTTGCCACTACATTGGAACCTATATTATTTAAAAAAAATATCAAATAAATTCAACTCTACCATTGTCCCTCCTGATGGTGTTATCTTGGTTGGTGAAACACGTGTCGGCTGCCAAATTTTCGATAAATTACGCCGTAAGACATAAAAATCGTAAAACTTCGGAATCCAGGGTTTTTGAATGAATTTTAGTAAAGCCTTTTCGATAGCATTATTAAAAGCCGAAATAAAAAAGTTATATGATATGAAAAAAAATGTTAACAGTAAAGATTTCAGTTTTATTCACAATAAATGATATTTGTATAGTAACTTTAATGTTAATTTATAATTATTTCGTAAAAAATAACAAGTTTACAAAAAAAAATAAGGCAAATTTTTGTAAACAGTATTTATTTCGGACCAAAGATACAAATAAATTGGTAAATTATAGCATTAATAGAAATAAGACGAGATGAGTAATGATAGTAGTCATTGTTCGTATACAGGATGTGTCAGAACTCGCGCCCCAGAGAAAAATTTTAAGTAAGATAAGATACCAGGAACATGGAAAAAGTGTTTACAAAATTGTAACTGTCAAAAAAATTTGACATTTATTTTTTGATATTTGACATTCTTTTTGTCTATTTAATGATACTGATGATCTTATATATGTTTTTTATAATTATTTAATAAAAGTACGAAAATTTTGCCAATAAAAGCCACAAATAACATTAAATTTAGGATAAAGCTTCCTTGTTTCTCTTTTAATAGCCTGTAACATAAAAACTTGGAAAATTGCTTTTCCAACAAAAGTAAATAGTCAAAGTACAAAATTTAAACTCTCATAACTTTTTATAGACAAAATTTTTTCAACAGTTTTCTATGTTCCTGGTACCGTACCTTTCTCTGGGGCTTCTGTCACACCCTGTATAATCGCTTTTTCTGTATGATTTTAATTTTTTTATTAACAGTTAAAATTAGTAGTTAGTTTATCAATAAAAAAATATGTTTTTCTCCTAGAATGAATCGAGAATAAAAATAAATAAAGCTTAGAGAAAAGATATTTAAAAAGTAAACTCTTTCTATCAAAATATTGCAGCATTTACAACTAAACTGTTTCCATTGTGGTTAAAAAAATGCATAATACAAAAAAGCTATTGGAACGAAGCTGCCGGGAAAAAAAATATATACAGAAAATGAAACATTAATAAGACCTCGAAAAAAATAAATTTCCAACATCTATCATTACCCTGATGGTGTCATCTTTTATGTCGAAACACGTGTTTCGCAGAAATTTGAATCCAATTAACTACAATAAGATAGTTTTCGATGACAAGATCAAGTATGAACTTTTCTCTTATTTATTACGATATTCGCCATTAAATTGTTATGAAAAAGCTTTTTTCTCTTTTATATTTTAAAGGAATTTTTCTAGATGAAGAAATAACCTAATAATAAATATTTGAAAACGATAAATCAGATGTATCGAAAAACATGTTAAAAAAATTGAGGGGTCACCTTGATTGACGAAACACGTGTCGGCTGTCAAAATTTCCCAGGACTTTGAATCAAATGAACTACTATGAGAAACTAATATGAGTTATTGTTAGTAGTGATAGTATTTTTTGATGATAAGATAAGGTGTGAATTTTTATAAATTATGTAAAAATGTAGTAATATCGATGAAGATAAAATTTCGCGTTGTTTGAGCAGTTGACAAATGCTCTGTTGTTAGTTATTTTGAATTTTTTTTTAAATGAATTAGTATCACAACTGGTGAATGTCGTTTTGCTGACCATGTAAAAAGAAAAAAAGAAAATTGCGAGAATTGTCCCTTATGTAGGAAAATAACCTTGTAGGCGTCGACAATTGCTCTCCATAGAAGAAGCGTGGAATCTCCCGATATCGGCTGAAATGTCATCAAGGCAACAACAACAAAACAGTTCGCAGCAATCGAAAACCACCACTCAGTCGTATCAAAAACCCTACAGTCAAGGTTCGACCCCACAAGGCCCGCCACCCCCTTACCCGTCCCCGGGCGGCGGCTCCGTAAAACAATTCAAAACCGAAGTAGTCGAACAAAAACCCACACCTCAACCTCAAACTCACCCCTTCACTCTCACTCAACAACAACTCCAAATGTTGAATTATTTTCAACAAAACATTAACAATCTAACGCCTGCCCAAGAAGTGAGTCACACAAAATGACCACAACGCCGAAAATTGGCAATTTTTTCCGTAGAATATGAGACTGCAACTGCAACATCAACACCGGTTGATGCAACAACACCAACAACAGTTGAGACACCAAAGACAAGCCCAGCCCCCACGACAGGGATCCACGCCGCCTGCCTACAACGGTAACTTCCAAGGGGATCCTCCCACGTTGAATCCTCCAAAAAATCTCTCGCCCTCCTCCAATGGGGAAAAACTAGTCCAACCAACACCAAATGTCATCCCGAGTTGTGCGAGAGATATCACAATGCCCGTTTCGGGACAACATTCAGCTGACATGGATGTCAGCGAGGAGGAATTAAAAGACTTCCTCTCCCAGAAGGATCTAGCAACGACGTTGGCCGAAAACCTCCTCAAACACTTTGGCTCCGATGATATTGACATCAAAGAGGAACAGGAACAAAATGGTGAGTCAAAATTTAACTCATATTTTCCATGAAACGCGATATTTAATTCTTGTGTATGATTGTTTAAAATAGCACGATTATCACTCGGCTTTGATTTCAAATCGCGTCATTTTCAATTCAAAGGTGTAGTCGACTAGTTCAGTGTTTCATTTTAGAAAATATTTTATCATCCGGACCCTTTTCTCCATCAAATTTAGATTCATCGAAACCGGAAATCGATACGAAACGACGGATCAAATCGCCACCACAGGATAGTATCCTAACTATCAAATCGGAACCTCCTTGGGAAGTGGATTCTTTGCATTCTGTTGAAAAACGACCGGAAATCGAATACACAATCGACATGGACGCGAAAACAATCCTAAGACTGTGCAAGTGAGTTCGATTTATAGTCCAGTCAGTAGGGAGTTTTGCCCCACAAAAGGTGGGGTAGTCGTAAATTTTTTAATATGTTGTTAAATTTGACAAATAATCCAAGTTTTCGACCTTGGGGGAGGACCGCTCGAGCCGCCATCTTGGATGAAAGGTACGAAAAATAGGTTTTTCCAAAATAACTCCGCAGTGGTTGATTCTACGGTAAAAGTTAAAGAAGACAAAATTTCTCACATTTTTTGTATTAACATTTTTTTTTGTATCGAGTTACAGCGGCGGAAATATGAACATTTTTCCCAAATAATAGTAAAACTCCCCATTTTCGACGAAAGAATTTTGTAAGAACAAATTACACTTGTTTTTAATGTTTTTTCCGCACCACAAAAATTATACAGCGATATCTATTTTACACTGATTTTTCTTGTTACATATAGGATTATTCATAAATAAGGCTCGGATTATATGCAAAATGCATATTTGTTATTAAGAGGTATATCAACAAAAAAAACTAATGTTTTTTGATTAAAATAAGCTAATCAAAATTGGCAACTTTGTGCATATTTTAGGAAATAATGCATATTTATGTGCATATTTTCTTCAAGTCAGTTCATTTTAAAAATTGGCCAGTTTAAGAAAAATTATCCGATTAAAAAATATGTTAAAGAGAAAACAACCAGTAATTCGTAAGCCAAACTCAAAAAATTAGTACCCTGCTGAGTGTTTTCTTTTTAAATTCGTTTTATACAGGGTGAATATGTAGTTAAAAACCAAACGGTTTTTTTTTATTTATTTGCCTCTGGAAAATAACAATTGATATAAAATAAAGTAATATAAAAAATCTGTTCGTATTTTCAAAACGAAATTTTGTTTTGCTTTCAGTTATGCGATTTTTTTGACAAAATTGTAATTTACGTAATTTTTTTAAAATTAATAAAAAGTAGATAGTCTCTAACACAGTTGTTTTTGGGAGAGTATACAAAACATTTTTTAGTGGGTTGCCATTTAAAAAAATTAAAATTTTTGTATAACTCAAAAACAAAACAAAAATCGAAAAATTTAATTCTTGATAAAACATTTAATTCATCAATTAGTTTTTAAAAAAATAAATAGTTTAAACAAAAAATGTTTGGTTCCATACTTTTTATTCACCTGGTATAAAACGAATAAATCCTTCTATGTGGATAAGTAGTTGCATGCAAATGAATTTTAGCAAATTTGTTTAAAGTGATGTAATCTGAAAATAGAAACTTCAGTGTACTCGAGGATAAAAAATTATTTCAACTTTGATTTTTTATTGTTAAAAGTTTTGCATAACGATGCATATTTGGCATATATTCGAGCATATTTCTTAATATTTCGTGATATTTTTGTTAAAATACGTGCATTTATATGCGCATATTTTACGGATTTTTCGTGCATATTTGTTATTAAGAGATATATCAACGAAATTATAAGTTTTCTATGCATATCTGATGTTTTTTAATTAAAATAGGCCAATTAAAAAATGCATATTTTGCATATTTTGGCAACGTCGTGCATATTTTAGGAAATATTGCATATTTGTGCATATTTTCCTCAAATCACTTTCTCAGTTCAAGTTAAAAATTAGACAGTTTAAGAAAAAAGATCCGATTACAAAATATGTTAAAGAAAAAAATTGTTTAAAAGATTACCATACTATTAATATTTTTTTCTTAAATAAAACGGTTTTTTATTTATTGTTTTACAAAGATATGCATTTTATAAATGTACAAAAATATTTATTAAAAATGTTACAATTTATGTTAAAAAAATTATAAACTTTATCTGTTGTCAAAACTTTCTTCTACCGGCCAAGGGGTGGTACGTTTAAACAATTAATTAAAATAAAAAATATCTCGGCATCGCTTCTTTACAACCTTTAAACATTCATCAATTTATAAAAAAAAAAACGAGTAGTTTATTAAAAAAAAAAAATACTTGTACTTAAATCAGACATTTTTTTAACAAAAAGTGTTGAGTTTACAAAAAAATTCTTGTAACAAGCTCGTTGTCTAGAAAAAAATTGTGCTAGATTTCCATTAAAAAAAATTGTTAGTATGTTTATCTCGTAAGTATAAACAATAATTGATATTCAATTTTTTTTTTTTTGGAATAGCAATTTTATAGCCATTGTACACCTATAATTTTTTTGTCAAGAAAATTCGCCAAAAAATATTAAGCGTTTCCAGACTTCCCAGAAAAAAAAACAAATTTCCATACCCACGTTTCGAGGGCTGAATAATTCTTATCAGTAGAGATATTGACACGAGTTATTAAAATTAACACCATTTTATAGGTCATATTTATGAATAACCCTATACAGGGTGCCCCAGAGTAAAATTTCAAGTAAGAGAAGATACCAGGAACAGGAAAAAAATGTTTAAAAAATTTTATCTGTCAAAAAATTTTGACATTTATTTTTTGACATTTGACATTTTTTTATGTCAATTTCATGATACTGATGATCTTGTATATGTTTTTTTACAATTATTTAGTAAAGGTAGAAAAAAATTGTCAATAAAAGCCACAAATAACATTGAACAGAGTTACAATTTAGGATACAGCTTCCTTGTTTCCTCTTTCAATAGCCTATAGCAAAAAAACTTGGAAAATTATTTTTCCAACAGAAATAAATAGAAAATTTAAACTCTCATAACTTCGAAAATTTTATAGATAAAATGTTTTTAACATTTTTTCCATGTTCCTGGTATCTTACCTTATAGGGCATTTTTTTTATGGGGCTCAAGTTCTGGCACACTCTGTATGTAACAAGAAAAATCAGTGTCATTTGAAATAGATATCGGCTGTATAAAAACATTAAAAACAAGTGTAATTTGTTCTTACGAGATTTTTTGCTATTTTTCTGGGAAAAATGTTCATCTTTCTTTAACAAATCTGAACACTTTTGTCGTAAAATCAACCGCTGCGGAGTTATTTTGGAAAAATCGATTTTTCATACCTTTCATCCAAGATGGCGGCTCTAGCGGTCCTGCCCCAAAATCGAAAACTTGGATTTTTCTCAAGGCTTAAATCTTAACAACATATTAAAAAATTACTACAACCCCACCTTTTGTAGGGCAAAGGCCTTTTTTGGCCCCTACTGACTGGACTATTAACCCCTATTTTTTTTTTTTATTGAAATTTTCCCCGGTTTAGAGGTGAAGGCATCAAGGGTGAAATAAGTAACTCGTTAATATCAGATCGAGCGCCTCCCCCTTCACCCCCCGATCCCCCAGCAATAAAACTAAACCATCAACAGTTACTTCCGCCCACGCCTTCGGTCTACTTAGATAACAAAAAACACGCATTTAGTCCCCAATTACAAGAGTTTTGTCTCAAACACCCTATAGCTGTAGTAAGAGGATTAGCTTCAGCGCTGAAGCTTGATTTGGGGTTATTTTCAACTAAAACTTTAGTTGAGGCTAATCCTGACCACAGTGTCGAAGTTAGGACACAAATACAACAACCATCGGACGAAAACTGGGACCCCCAGTCTGGGAAAAAGGTCTGGGCGTGTATCTCGCATAGGTCACATACGACCATTGCAAGATATGCGCAGTACCAAGCCTCCAGTTTTAAAGAAAGTTTAAAGGTAAAATCAGATAGGTAATTTGTGTTTAAAAATAAGGGAGTAATTGCAGGAAGAGAGAGATAAGGCCACTAGTGGCTTGTCCGACTCGGATTCAAAGGACTCGGTGAATTTTCCCAAGAGGAGGCGGCTTTGCAATATACCGCCCTCGGCCAACACGAAGGGCTGCAATCAGCCCAAAATGTTGAAGTAAGTAAAAAATTCATTTTTGTGCGCTTTACTAAATTTTTTTATTAATCATTGGGAGAAGGTAACAAATAGAATATTTCACGACTTGTGACTTAAACCAGGTTTCAACAACTTTTGTCCACGCCCAAAATCTTCGTTTTTTATAAATACTGTTGACTTTTTTCGTGATTTTGTATCTGTTTGAGTAATTTGTGTTCTATAATGCAAAATGCAAAACAAAGCAATGCAAGAAAATTACGAGATTTTTGTTTTGTTTTTGATCAAATTGGAAATATGCAGTGAGAAAAAAAACATTTTTGTTGATTAAATAACTTATTATTCCGATTCATTAGAGAAAAGTTAATTTTTCTCTTGTTTTGTAAATAAACCAAAAAAGGAAAATGCCAAGTAAGATAAGAAACTAGGAACATGGAAAAAATGTTTACAAAATTCTATATGTCAAAAAATTTTGACATTTATTTGACATGTTTTATGTCTATTTAATGATACTGATACAGGGTGTTTTGTTTTTATTGTTACAAATTTAAACATGTGATAGAATATTCAATTTTAAAACAAAAGTTTCCTATGAACAAAAAATGTTATCTAAGCGAGTTACAAGGCCGTGAACTAGGACTTTTTTTATGAGAATGAATATTATTTGGCGAGGCGAAGGCCGAGCCAAATAATCATTCGAATAAAAAAAAAGATAGTTCACGGCCATGTGGCATACAAAATTTTGTGTGGAACTGTAAAAAATTACCAAAATTAAAGTTTCGATCGAAAAAATAAAACATATAATAAAATATTAAATTTTCATAAAGAAAAAAAGACTCTTGCTACAACAAGCTTGTCAACATCATTTAAAATTTTAAATGAAACAAATTGCGCCTCTACTAATGCTACTGCATTCAATTTTTATTTTAATAATTAAGAATCTTTTGTTCAGTATTGTTATATGTATAATTAACAATGTTTGTAATCACATATTAATAAATAACGTTCGAATTATCTAATAAAGCTAATTTCATTCAAGATCATGACCCCTAAATAAAGTTTTTGTTGGCCGGTAAAAAAAAAGTCTTTTTTACGTTGCTATTTCACGACTCAAAATCAAGCAAAAAAAGTGACGTTGTTTTGACAGTTGCATACAAAAAATATTTTTAATGGGGTTTTCTCACTATTGCAGAATAGATAAAATTACAAAAGTTGGTAAGAGCTGAACGAATTCAAAGACCAGTTGTCGAAATTTTTAATCACCATCGTCTTAAACGATAAAACGAATTTATTTTTATCCTCTTTATGGTCTGTAAGACAAATTGTAAACTAATTTTACTCAAAAACGATAAGTTGTATTGAAAAAAAAAAACGCAAGAAACCTCTTTTTTGTGAAAAACTATAGAATTTAGAATTTTGTAGCTAAAAGTGGCAAGAACCAACAGCTACTTTTTACCCTAAACCCCCCTCCTTAGGACGCTCCTTTTTATCTTTGGTGTATAAAAATTATTAGTTGTACCAAATTTTGTAATTTTATCTACAATGTTTTCTGAAATATTGTAAAAAAATGTAACCCCCTTGTGTAATATTTTTCGCTACATGTTCATAGAAAATTTTTATCTTAAAATTGAATATTATCACCTGTTTTAATTTGTAACAATAAAAATGGAACATCCTGTATGTTTTTTTCATACAAAAACTTGGCCAGTAAAATCCACAAATAACATTAAACAGAGTTACAATTTAAGATACATCTTTCTTGTTTCCTTTTCTAATACCCTGTATCAAAAAAACTTGGAAAATTATTTTTACAACAGAAATAGTCAAAGTGCAAAATTTAAACTCTCATAACTTCGAAATTTTTATAGATAGAATTTTTTTCATGTTACTTGGCATTTTCCGTTTTTCATCTATTTACAAAACACCCTGTAATATTTTTTCTCTGCTTTGTAAGTTTTATTTCTTAATTAATTAATTAATTAATTGAATAATTGTTTTTTTAAATGACTACATTTTTTATGTGAAAGCTGTTTTTTTAAGTTGCTATTTATTTAAATTACGTTTTCCATTAGAACATTTTGTCCATTTTTTAAATTGTCTATTTGGGTGGTGGTTAGTTTTTACCTTTACTTAATTAATTATAATTTGATGTGATGTGAAGGCAATTTAGAAAAAAAAAGAATTAAAACAAAATAAATTTTATTTTGTTAAAAACAGACATTAACTTTTTATTTACTTCAAACAGGGTAAAAAAACTTAATTGCCTTCGCATATAAAAATGTCTGGTTTGCGACAAAAATGCATTTTTTTAGAAACATTTTCCCCTAGTAAGAGTAGATATTGATTTTTGTAATATACTATACACTTTTTTTCGATTTGATAGGTGTTAACGACGCGAGGACTGAGGCTAAAACTAGACCCACGAGGAACGTAGGCTGTGGATGTGTCTCAGGCCGCGGTTAGAGATCATCCCAAAAATATCTTTGTTATTCTTAAAGATATTAAATTTCTTGCAGGATTCCGTTAGTTGGTTTAAAAAATTTGGACACTTCCTCATTTCTGGTACTTTTTCCAGGTTTGGGACAAACGTCGACTTGTCTGATGAGAAGAAATGGAAGGCCCAACTGCAGGAGTTGATGAAACTTCCGGCTTTCGCTCGTGTTGTCTCGGCTGGGAATATGTTGTCGCACGTGGGACACGTGATCCTCGGCATGAACACAGTTCAGTTGTACATGAAGGTAGTGTTGGTAATTGTCAAAACTTTGATAATAATTTCGTTTTGTTAGGTGCCTGGTAGTCGTACTCCCGGCCACCAAGAAAACAACAACTTCTGTTCGATTAACATTAACATCGGTCCGGGGGATTGCGAGTGGTTTGCCGTCCCAGACGCGTATTGGGGTGCGATTTGCGCCCTCTGTGAGAAGAACCAGATAAATTACCTTCATGGGTCATGGTGGCCCGTCCTTGAGGACTTGTACAATGCGAATATTCCAGTTTATCGGTTTTTGCAACGTCCTGGGGATTTGGTTTGGGTGAACGCCGGTTGTGTTCATTGGGTGCAGGCCGTTGGTTGGTGCAACAATATTGCGTGGAATGTGGGCCCCCTGACAGCGCGACAATACCAACTCGCGATCGAGCGATACGAGTGGAATAAATTGCAGAGTTTCAAGTCAATTGTGCCAATGTTGCACTTGTCGTGGAACTTGTCGAGGAACATTAAAGTTTCCGACCCGAAATTGTTCCAGTTGATTAAGTACTGATACGATTTTGGCGTTTCGTGTGGTGGGTTGACTGGTGATTTTTTGCAGGAATTGCTTAATGCGGACATTGAGACAGTGTTCTATGATTTTGGAGTTTGTGAAACACAAAGGTGTTGAGGTCAAGTTCCACGGACGAGGCAAGAACGAGGCGTCGCACTACTGTGGGCAATGCGAGGTGATGATTGATTGCGGGATTACAGGAAACTGTATTATTGTGTTTGCAGATTGAAGTTTTTAATATCTTGTTCATAAGGGAGCAGGAGAAGCGACATGTGGTCCATTGTATGGACTGTGCGCGGAAACAGAGCACGAATTTGGAGGGATTTGTCTGTTTGGAGGAGTACAAAATGGAGGAGTTGACGGAAGTTTACGATAACTTCACTTTATATCCCACCGTTAGTGCTACTGCAGAGCAATATCGGCTAATGTAGCAAATTTAATTTCAAGTGCTAACTTTCAGCTACCACTGCCACTTGTAACGGATGTACAACTTAATGTTAATACTTGCTTATTAAATGTAAAATTCGAGTGATAATGTAAAATGTAGATAAGTGTGTACATAATATTTTCAATTTTGTAGATTGGCGATAAGTTATATGTTACATCTTAATACAGTGATCTCATAACAGTTATTTATAAGTGTACATATTATAAAAAATAAATATATTTGTACAATATATTTATTTTGGAAGTCAAAGGAATAGGATGATTGTATTTGAATCATCATTTTTGTTGTTAATGAATGAAACCATATTTTCACTGCCAAAAATTATATATAAATGACTGTTTTTACGTAATTTTTTAAGTCTGTACGTATTGTATAATTCAAAGATTTTTTTAAAGGCGGCAAATTCGGTTATTGCGTGTATTCGTTCACTGCCACTTTGTGATACATTTCTACCCGAATACCACTTTATATGTTCATAGACAGAGCCTGGGTTCGAACAGTGCCTTCTTCAATAAATTATCTGAAAAAAATTCATATTTTCTCCATTCATGACCAATTACAAATACAGTTACATTATGTAAATATGACGATGTATTAGGAAATAAATCAGGAAACTGGCTCAATTTTCTAAGTAAGGTAATCCCTATTTCCCCTGTTCATATAGCTGTGTATTTTATATCATGAAAAGTCTGATTTCACTTTATGTATTATAGTTTCAATTGTAGTTTAGACACTACATAAACTTGTATTTATGATTAATTAAATAAAACGTTATATTTGAACACTTGTTATTTCTTTCCCAAATTACGTCCAAAACAAAAGAAAAAAACTCAATACGGGCTATTAGAGGTGACGTCACAGACGCGACTGTACTGAAGCTAAACATACAGTGTTGCCAGTTGTGATACTAGAGTACCAAATTGATACTTGATTTTTTTTACTAGATATTTATATTTACTTGTAAACAAATAATTATTTATATTCTCAGCCAAATACACATTATGTGAATGTTAATATTTTTATTTTGTTTTGTTTTGGTACGACCTATCCACTCCTGTCGTTTGGCAATGCTGAACACATATTTTTGACGTACACAGAAAGTGAGGTTAGAGCAGATTAAATTACAGAAATGTTGACTACAATTGTTAAAACCATTACGAAACGACACACATTTTTCATAGCAACTATTTCCTTAGAAACAATCTCCCTACACGTCCAGGATTCAAGAAATAAACTTTTATTTGTTTAGCTTCAAAGGTACAGTCACGTACCTTGCTGACGTCACACTAATAGAGCGTATATCATTGACTTTGTTGCATTTCTAGTGTCGCTTAGTATATTATCTGAAAAAAACCAAATCGAATACATAACGAACTTTATTAAATTACAGATTTAATTAACTAATGAATTTAATGGAACAAGGAAAGAATACAAACACGAAAACGAATGATTATTGAGCACTTGGCTCACTGGTGTCATTATTAAAGTCGTTAATGTCGGAACTTTCATTATTGTCAGAATCCTCGGGGGGTGGTAGATGTATATCGATAGTAATTTCGGGGTCTCCAAGGGGGAAGTTATACCCTACGAAGCCGCAAAATTGGCATACGGACAAAGGGTGGTTATAATCATAAGGGCAAACAAGTCTCTGCACGGTTGCAATATTTTCATTGACATATTCCTCGGTTGCATTTCTCGGAATTTGGGCAAACATTGAATTGTAATTTCGTTGCAAATGAGTCCCTAATTCGAGCAAATTACGATTCTGATACCGGAGGAAAGGGATGTATCGGGGACCGTAAAAATCGCCCCTTGCCAAATAACGACCTGAAAGAAATCAAAACCTTTTGAAAAAATGCTCGAATCAGTTGATGCCCCTATCGACGTCTGTAATTTAAATTCTGTCATCTGTCATATCTTTGCTCGATTTTTAAAGTCACAAATAACCAAAAAAAAATTTCACTTTAAAAACAGAAAACTATTTTGGGTTCAAATCTAAATGAGGAATTTTATTTCTCTGAAACGGGTTAGCTCACCGCCACGGCGTCGTCGGCCATATTTGAGGACCGTGGAATAGAAGGGGGCTCTTGTAGGTCTGCGATCCATCATTCAAATTTTCTATTTTACTCACAAACACACTCTTTAAAATATTCTTGTCTTAAAGGAGATTTAACACAAATTTTTAACACTTTTCAGAAGTTAAATCCCAATTCACCAACAACTAATTGAGATTTAATTAATTTACAATTGTTTTAACTAAGTATCAAAGGAGCCGCCTAGAGGGGGTGGTTTGAGCACTGCCAACATTTAGCAAAAAAATTTCGATTTATTTTGACAAGCATTGTTTTGATTTTTTATTTTAGACTTAAAATTAAGGTTTTAATAATTTCGATTTTGCTTAATTTTAAGATATTATTTTCGGAGAGTAACTCAATATTATTTTCAACCTACCATCACGGTATTACCATTATTTTTGAGTTAATGTAAAACGAGAGTTATTTTTTTTAATGTAAAAACGAAAAAATGCTACTAAACCATCTTCGACCAGGTTAGGCCTTGGGGTAATTTCAGCACTTTTTGTGGTTTTGACCACCAAATTATGGCCTGATATTGAAATTTCATTCATTTTCGAAAGTGATTTTTGACAAGCCTTTAATTTCTCACTGTGTCTTTCAGTAACATACCTGTATTTTCAAAAACAAATAGTAAATGCAAAAACGATCTTTATTGAAAAAGTTATAAACGACTACTAATCTAACTTAAACATATTTAAAGTCTGTCAAAACTAAAAAAGTACAAAGAAAATTTTCGTAAAAAAAAACTTAGTAATAAAACTGGTATGGGCCATAAGGCCCGTAGGGTTGCATATAATAATAATAAACAATGTTGTTCTGAACCTGAACATTTTCATAGACTGGCTCAAAAGCATATTCCCCAAAAGTCTCAATAAACAGTTGAGTGTAATCGGGGACGATTTGCGAGGGTCCTGCAGGGAAATTATACCCTACAAAGCCACAAAATGGGCATATTTGCAAAGGATGGTAATAATTCTGGGGGAAAAATATTCTCTGGACAGTTGAAATATTCTCACAAACATACTCTTCAGTCACAATGTCGGGGATCCGAGCAGATTGCATGAAAGTTCGTTGTAGATGAGGTCCTAAATTAAGTAAATCTCGCTTTTCGTAACGGATGCGTAAAGGCGTGAATTTTGGAGTGAGATAATCCCCTCTAGGCAAATAATTACCTGGAATAAATCAAAACCTGATGAAAAAATGTTCAAAGCATTGAATCTCCTAACGACTTCTGTAAACACGAGAAAAGAAAGGAAAACTTGGAGGGGCATGGGAAAAATCTCCATATCTAAAACTTTGTGAAAAATTTTAAAACCACGTGTCTTAGATATGGATACAGACTTGATTCTTGTTAAAATTTTAGCTCACCACGACGTCTTCGACCCTGTTTGAGTACAGTAGAGTAAAAGGTAGACCCCGTGGATGCTGGCCGTGGTGCTGGGAATCGTGGGGGTTTTCGAACTTTTCGTTGCATTTTCTCATCACAAGATCACACAGATTAATAAATTTAGGCTTATTTCACCCGGATTTTTACAAAAATTCGTTAGTGTATCAAGAACTAATGGTCAAGCGTGGGATCTAGGGATGTTAGTGATGCAACGGTCATTTATCAGTCTTTTTTATCAAGCTACCAACTTTATAATCAGCGAGTGTCAAAATTGGCACCTAGATGGGGCGGGTTTATTTATGCATCGCCAACTTGTAATAAACTATTAGAGTGAAATTAGCAAAATAATAGCAGAACAATGTCAAAATTTAATTAATTAAAGTACTAAAGTTGCATTCGTTTTCTATGAATTTCCTCAAATAGTATTTGAGAAATAATGCATTTTATCCAAAACACAATTAATTTCTATTCATAATTCAAAAATTCAAAATGCAGTTTGTAGTTTGTCCATGTTTTCATGAATTGAGATAAAGGTTTTTAAATTTTTTTTGCAAAATGCCGTAAAATTAGTGTCCAATTGTACAGGGTGCTGCATTTTGGATGTCCGAATAGGGAATCTCCGAAACTAAGAGGTTTAGCCAAAAACGAGTGATACATTCTGGGGCTCATTTTTTGAGAAAATAATATTGGTTAAAACCGCATCCCGCTATCGTCTTTTGTTTTCGACTTACAGACAAAAGTTGACATATTGGCGAAATCTAAAAAAAATTATATCTCCGTTATTATAGAAGATACGGATTTGAAATAAAAACATTATACAGGCACTTTTTTACGAGGAATTTAATAATGTAGTTAACAATTTTTTTCAGTTATTAGTTTAGCCGTAATAAAATAAACTTGTATTTTTTTAAATGGGAACCATAGAAAGCATGTTTTTTTCTTATCTAAAAAATATATATTTGTAACAAATTATTATAATACATTTTTAGCAAAAAAATACCTTTGATCTTTGTTTGCAGTTGGCCATGGAAAAGTGTTGCATCTTCAAATCATAGGCGGCTATGGCAATTTTGAAAAGCTTTTTTTTTCTGATCTAAAAAATATATATTTGTAACAAAATATTTTTTTATAACTATACTTAAAAAGTGAAATACATATTTTGTGTGATAATAGTTGGCCATGGAAAAACTATTTCACTCCAAATGTGTGAATAATAATCAATAAGAGTTTTGTGAACTGTAAAATAGATGAAAAAATAAATAAAATTATAAAGATTTAAATAATACGATACGGTAGATGCATTGAACAAATATCCGAGCGCCTCAGAACAAAATTATTACATATTTTTAAAAAATCCAAAAATAGGAAAAACAAATGTGTCAACAGTCAACACAATTAGAAAAAACATTTTTTTGATGATCTAATGGAGGTAGGATAACGTTTCACATAGACGGAATTTGGGTATTTGAATAGCCATATCGTCATTTTTGTCTCATATAAAATATATTTTATTGAAGAATAAAAGCGGCTTTTTTTACAACACTCTATGTAGAAGTTGCAATGGTAATGTTAGCTTGTTTAAAAACAAAGAAATGTTATTAGTCGCCAATAAGTTGATTTACAATTTATTTTGCATCTTTTTCATCACTTAGTACTTAGAAAACTCTTTCATTAGTGACACTGGTTGAATATAATATAGTTTAAATCCTTTTAGTTGAAGATGCAACATTTTTTCATGGCCAACTGCGAACAAAAATCAAAGATAATTTTTTGCTAAAAATGTATTATAATAATTTGTTACAAATATATATTTTTTAGATAAGAAAAAAACAAGCTTTTTAAAAATGACATAGCCATCTATGATTCCCATTTAAAAAAATACAAGTTTATTTTATTACGGCTAAACAAACAACTGAAAAAAATTGTTAACTACATTATTAAATTCTACGTAAAAAAGTGCCTGTATAATGTCTTTATTTCAAATCTGTGAATTATATAATAACGAAGATATAATTTTTTTTAAATTTCGCTAAAATGTCAATTTTTGTCTATAAGTCGAAAACAAAAAACGATAGCGGGATGCGGTTTTAACCAATATTATTTTCTCAAAAAATGAGCCCCAGAATGTATTACTCGTTTTTGGCTAAACCTCTTAGTTTCGGAGATTCCCTATTCGGACATCCAAAATGCAGCACCCTGTACATATTTTTTCACATTTATTGCCACTGATATAAAAAATTAAAATTATTTCTTAAAAGAAGGACAGTTTTGTTCTCACCTGCAAAAATGCAAATTTGGACAAAATGCTTTTTGAAAGTCTGCTCCTCAAATTCTCACACTTCACTTTGCATCAAATAAAAAAATTCAAATTCAAATGCTCTGACCTTACATGGCATTTTTTCTGCTACCATTTGTAGCGATTCCCCTCATCTTTATAGAACGGACCTACTGAAATAAAAGAAACCCAAAATCAGTTCAATTTGTTATTAAATTAGTTGAAAATTTTAAATACAATTTAATAAGCGTAATTTTTCTAAAAAATAAAAAAGTATTTTTGACTTACCCTTTCGCCATTGGTACTCCTAATTACTCGAAATTTTAAAAATCGCGCACTACTAAATGTCTATTAGCACTCGAAAATACACAACACACACTCACTTACCGAGTTTCAGCAACAAACAAAAAATTAACCATTTATTCTTGAATAAAATTAAATTTGTACAATACTTAGAACTGTTCTTGCTGATGTTTCTTTAATATAGACAAAAAAATTCAATTTTATTACTGCAAAAGTAAATTGCAATCGTTTTCTGCAAATTTTCTTAAATATAATTTGAGAAATAATATATTTTATCTAAAATACAATTAATTTCCATTCAAAATTTAATAAATACTTACTGTTGCACTCAAAAATTACAAATTCGCACACTTCACTTTGCAATAAACAAAAAAATAAAAAATTAAAATGCACTGACCTTATATGACGGACTTACTGAAATAAAAGAAATATAAAATCAGTTCAATTTGTTTTTAAATTAGTTGGGGCCACGGACAAGAATTTTATTAGTTTAATATTATGGTTTAAATCAAGGTGCAGACAAATTAACAAAAAATTAATACTATAATATAACGCTTTAATTATAGGCAACCAGTATTACAATTATGTTTTATGGCTCTTTTTACTACGAAATTTGAATTTATATGTGCTTGTACAACACTTAAAAATTTTGTATTTTATTTTATTAATGTTTTATTGACAAAAATAAATTCCGACAACCCCGAGTGAGGAGATTTGTTAGTCTATTTCGTGACTGTGGGTTGGCATTTTTTTTGCAATTTGACTTAGTCACGGTCACTTTGTGTTTGAATGTGTTTGATAGTGTTTGTGAGTTTTTGTGATTAATTTTTAAGAAAAAACCTGAAAAAGTGCACCCTTGTACTACACACAATGGCTGAACGTAAGAATCCGTTATTTCAAAGGTGAATTTTATTTTTAGATAATTTTTACTTTAGCTACTTCTGGAATTTTGAATTTTCTCTTTTTGCTTTAAGAAGCCTCTAGATTGATGATATAATCTTGAAAGTTTGTGTAAATACTCCGTTTTCGAAATAATTACCTGTAATGACCTTGACTTCAGAAGTTTTTTTTGTATTCTGCTGTAAAAAGTCTGTATATTGAAGATATAATCTTGAAAGTTTATGCACATGTAAAAGTAACTACACTCACCGGCAAAATTATCGCATCACATTAGAAAAGTGATTTTTTATTGAAATAATGCTTAAAAAAATAAATAAATCAAAAATTAACATAAACTAAAATTACGATTTAAACTTCAACAATTAAATTACAATTTAATGATTGTCAAAAGAAACAATAAAATCTGGTGTGAACATCACACGACTTTCCTTATTTGGAAAATATCCTTAGGAAATGTTGGAAATCCGAGTAGCAAACCTAACGTTTGCGTTAATGCCACCTGCCGGATTACATGCCAAATAGATCATAATTGTCGCGGGTTCGAGTCTGAGGTGCAATTTTTTTAGTTCGGTACCCATTATTATTTTTATTTTATCACATTTTACTGTACTAGCTAGTAAATAAATTTTATTCCCATGAATTTGCGGCCGATTTTTGATCTTTGCGACCGATTTTTACCAATTGTTTCGTGGTTATTACACTTTAAAATTTGTTTTTTCATTGTTATTTTCAATTTGCACAAGAAAATTCATTGTGTGCGGTCATTGAGGCATTAAGAGGAAAGGTTTGGCGGAAGTTTTAGGTTGAAATTCCAGGAGTAGTTAAAGTAAAAAAATATTTTTCTCTAAAACATCTCAATTAATTGAATAGATTTTTCTCTAAAACATCTCAATTAATTGAATGCGACATTACAGACCCTACGTGCCAAGCAATCTTCCGTTATCAAATTTTCAAGTCAAACCGAACTCGCCCTTGTTGTGGTAACGTAATTATGGGCAACTCATTGGGGGGCTATTATTATCATGACCATTTCAGGACCCTTCTGTTGGAATGGTACCAAGGGCGGCCACTGATATTTTTGCACCTGCAATATTTTTAATTTTGCGTCTAGCACGTTAAAACGTTAAAATTCAGTTATTATCATCCCTTGGGGTGTTTGCATCATTATCTTGGGTCTCGTGTAGAAGCGTCTTCTTGAACTCCTTTTTCAATACTTCCTTAGAGAGTCCAGAATTGATCTTTTTCGGATAATCGTACGTTGGCTTCACTGGTGTATCACCCGATTTACCAGTAAAATTAACTTCTCGTAACATACCTTCGAGATTTTCAACGGTGTGTTGCGAAAATTCTACCACRTTTGCAACGGAWCGATGTTCATTATTAAGAAGATTATCAAGTGACGCTGCAGCTTGGGCGGAGAACTTCGAAATCTCGCGAGTTTGGTTTTCTAAGATGTCAAAAGCCTCCTTTGCCATAACTTCRTTTTTTGCAACAACTCCCTCATTCTGTTCCTCGACYCGTTGTTCAATAGTATCAAAGAATTTAGCYAAGTAATTTTGGGTCATGCGGTGATTTTGAGAAATCTGCACAGAGCAAACCCTTTGACTGTCTTTAATGTCTTCTTCAGTTGTTTCCACTTTCAATCTAAGCTCATTTAYTTGAAAATGGGCCTACAAAAAAATTTAAGCACACTTGACTGAAAATTAAAATCTTACCGTCTGTTGGTTGAAATTGGTAACAATGGTATTGAGCTTTTCGTTGATTCTTGGAGCTCTTTCTTTCAACACGTCGATGAGTTCGGTGATGTACCCCCTCACGTGCATTACAGTCTCCAATTCCAAGGACAAATCCTCTTGTTTGGTTGTAAARGATCTGATGAGTTTCTCCCACGATTGGACATTTTCATCGTTTTGACTCAACAAACGCTTAATTCGAATGTAACGTTTCTGTAGAATGGCATGCAAGGTATTCATTAAAGAGTAGTATTTATCGTACATTTCGCTCAAGGAGGAAAACTGTGCGGTAACATCACTCTCATACTGAAATGTTGCTTCAGCCAATGACGCTCTAGTTTCATCAATGTAATCCTTTAATTTTCTCAAAATTGAGTTAATTATTCGAAAATTGTGCCCCAATAGTTTATGATTGGCACTAGCCGTCGAGGTTAAATTCAATTTAACGTCGCGTTCTGTAATCCCAGAGTTCTCAAACACAAAGTCTCAAATGTGCACTTAAGCTTCTCGGAAAAAACCGCCACGTCGCTTAAAAGTTGTTTTAAACGTGCGGAATCCTGTCGTAAGTTGTCTTTAATACGTGCATTGTGTGTTGCTAAAGCATACAAATGGTCATTTTCGTTTATCCCAAACTGTTCGAGGGTGTTTTCAACCCTTTTCAAGTTCTGGGATGACACCACGAGCATTTCTTTGGCCACTTTTGCATTATGAAGTGTTGCATTACATTGGGAGTCGTATTTTTGGTAGTAGATCTCCCCATGTTTCGCTGATGTTTGATGAACGTCATGTAATGCCTTTGATTGTTGTTCCAATTGGGACAGATTATCGGTCATGTGGGCAATCGCAAATTCACTCTCTTGTWGTTTGAGAGTTTCCTSTTCTAAKTCTTTTTGGASAGKTTTCAATTTTGTTACAGACTGCTCGTAATTCTGTCCTAGTYCTTCAACWGACTGCTTTRGGCGGTTAAWATRATCGTTCAGTCTTGTTATTTCRGRAGTTAGTGAGAGGACTCTTTCACGTTTTGCTTTAATTTCAAGAAGAATCTTCTCGTAGGTCTCGGTATCTAAATGGAAGCCCTCACCTTCTCTGGCAGCGTTTATTTCCTGACGTAAAGTAGTAACTTCATCTTCTAAATCTTTAATCACGTTATCTCTGCGAATATTTTTGACATTGTAAGTGGGGCAATTGCAGACGSTTCGGGCCATATGTGCATAATCTAACYTACTAACAGTCTCTTCAAAAACGTCAGAGGAAGGAGAAAAAGTCGCAATAATGGAAGTTTTGCTCTTGCCCCCCAAACTGTCTTGAAGAATACGAGTTAGTTTCGATTCCCTGTAAGGAATATGTTGCGATTTTAAAGCCAAAGCTTTTATAACTTTGGCCAAAGTTAGAAGKGACTTATTTATGGRCCCGGCTTCTCTAGCACGCATTTCGGTTGCTCCAGAACGACCAACATTCTCACTTCCGGCTAAATCAATCAAATGGATTTTACCAGTTTTAACAATCTCTTCACCATTGGTTACTTCTCGAATGGTAACAACAATAGTAAAAATGGTATGAGAACGTGAGCTGTGACGGTTTATGTTAGTGGAACCGATATGACGATAATTAGCTCCAATCATCAACATTTCAAATAGTTCGTTGCAATTTTTCACCGGCACTTCAGACACGCCCTTGATGCATGTGGCCCCCTTATTGTCCCTTATTAAATTTAATTTTAATGTATTTAAAAATTTAATGTATTTAATGTATTTAATTTTAATTTTGCGTCTAGCACAGCTAACAAAATTTTATTCATTGCACTTAAATTAAGTAAAAATGTGTTGAATTGTTTTGCTGTTTGTTTGGTGCAAAGCTGTGAACACTTTAAGTTACATTAGAATTGTAACAGTTCACCTTATTGTATTTTGTATTATTCTCGATGTTCTTTCTTTTTGTAAGTTTTTAAAAAGCCAAATATATTACACTATAAAAAAACTTTTATTGTCTTTGTTATTTATTTTGCAAATTGCATATATTTTCCCGTTAATACTTATTCTATTCATAATTTAATCAATACTTACTGTTGCACTTGAAAATCACAAATTTACACACTTCACTTTGTCAAAAAAGTAAAAAAATAAAAAGCACTAACCTTTATGGCATCTTCTTCGGCTACCCTCTGTAACAGTTTGCCTCTGCTTCTTAAACGGACCTACTGAAAATAAAGAAATACAAAATCAGTTCAATTTGTTATTAATTAGTTGAAAATTTTAAATACAATTTAATAAGTGTAATTTTTCTTAAAGATTAAAAGGTATTTTAATCCTGATCTTTGTAGCACGAGTGTCTTCTCCATTTCCCCCATTGGCACTCATTAATCACTCAAAATTTTAAAAACCGCGCGCTACTAAATGTCTATTAGGCACTCGAAAATGCACAACACACACTCACTATATGTACAACCCCCATTTCAACACAATTTCGCACTGAACCAGCAAATAAGTAATAATTTATCCGGACAATTATTACTATTCAAGTGACTCGTCCGAGAGCTTGGCTAAAACTGACTCGTTATTGTAATAATTTCCTTAAAAACGGTACAAAAACCATTTTGTAACAGCTCCGGTGTAAAGGACTCCGTAATACCGACATTCGTAACGTCACAAAGTAATTAAAATATTTCCCAATCCACCGTCTCCAGTTTTTGTGCCCTTTACATTTGTTTACACTGACATGACGTCAAGATGCTTGCATCTAATTGGCTACGTGATATCGTCTAGATGTGCCCAAGGACAAACTATTTCCCGCACAAATTTTAAGAAAACCAAGTATTTTGGGCAAACAATTGTAAAAAAACTTCCTTTAGTACAAATATATTGTTGCTCCATCTTGTTTTATTATAATTTTTTATGTGATTAACTAACAAAATCTTAATTTTTAGATATTTTTTTTTAAATTAATGTAACTATTACAATTTCCTTTAAATGTAATGATGGTTGCATAACAAAACAAATTTAACTCTTGGTACTATAAATTGTTATCATGTAGGTACTGAAAACGGCACTACACTACAACTTTTAGATATTTTTACAGTGGACAAAAATACGGATACTCATTATACATGGACAAAAACACTCAGCGTATGTTTAAAATACTATATTCTCATTTTATTAAACCTACAAAAATTCCTTGTTTTACAATAAAATTATTTACTACTTAAACTCTTGTACTTCTTGTCCATCTATTGCGGTGTTTGAACGATTTCGAACATCATACACAGCTTTCACACTACATTTTGTTGTGTCTGACTCTACTTGTGTTGATGGTAATTCTTCTGGTACTTTTTCTTGACTCACTTCACCGTCTAACCCATTTTGGGTATTTTTTATGGTACTAATATTTGATTCTTGATTAGACTGACTCATTTTGCAAACTCTACAAAGGGAATGATAACTGAAAAATATTTAAGATAAAGCAGAAAGAATATAATCTAGAACTTTGATTCATTTCAAGTAGATTTCATCACAACGACTTTTTTTTCATTTTAAACGTGACTGGTAAATAAGTGTTGAAACGGTATTTAGGCACTTAGTTTTGTTCAGTTTTTTGCAGTAACACAAAATTTAAAAAGAAAAAAGAACAACACAAAAACAATTATTTTAATAGATAGGCAACCAGTAAAACAGGGGCGTATATTTGGTCACCCTAATAAAATAATTGATAACTGTTATCACAAGTTTTGTTCAGTTATTTACATCAATAAATCATGCATTAAGACTCGTCGCCCCACTTACACACTGCCAAATGCAAAAATTAATTGAAAAATTAAGAAACTGTCAATTTTTTTAATTAAGTCATAATTCATGGTTTTTGCAACAGAGTGGCAGAGGCCAACTCAAAGCCAAATTGAGACTCCAGTTTGAAGACAGAAAAAAACGTGAAGCTAGTTAATTGTGTTATTAATAAATTGATATCTTGAGTTTTTTTTGTTTTCCCCCCGGGTCAACCGGCTCGATCCTTGTCAATTAAGCGGCCCATGCTGAGAGACTTCAGCTTGAACTCCTACTTAAGACTCAGTTTGACTTAGCCATGGTGTCGTACGCACGTGTCGTCTACGCAGTTTTGTTAAGTTGTATAACACATGTGCACACAGACGGCGAAAACATAACCGAATCATGCATGTATTTATACGAAAAAGGTGTCGAAGCGTATTTGGACAATCGATTCAACGCGTGTATTGTTCACTTCGAAAATGCGATACAAAAATATAGAGACTATAGGAAAAAACTCCAAAATTGTCGAATTATGTGCAAGGAAGAAGCGGATTTGTCGGAACCGCTTTACCCGACAGATATCGACGATTTGTTGTTTTTTGAAAAAGCGGTCAAAAATACGCTGTGTATTATGAGGTGCAAAAAGGTATACAAGGACAATTTTTTCAAATTTAATGTCAATAAAGAGACCGAGAAGCTGTTCGAGGATTTGAAGCCCTACGAATATTTACATATCTGCTATTTTCAGGTAATTACTTTATTTCATTCCTGAAACAGGAAATGGTACAATAAAATGTCTTTCAAAGATTTGAAGAGGCGGCCCGTTGAGAGATACCGCCAGTGGCGGCGACACACTTTCTTCCTATTTGCATTGTTTGTTAAATTTTGCTAAATGAGTTCAAAAGTCAAATGAAGTTTGTGTTTTGACTTAACAAAAAATAAACTACAGAATATACTTTGTTTGCCAATTATATATTTAAGTTGTAGAAAAAATAATACAAAATATAGCAAATACTTCTATTAAATAAGATACATTTTTTTCTTTGTTTCAATAAAACGAGGTCGCCATTAAAGCTGTTAAATTTTATCAATTAAAACTCTATCTGGTGATATGTTACTTTGCATGAAATAATAAATGTTTTTTAGCTTTCAAAACTTTTTGCATGTAATAATAAAATACTATCGAGTAGGCACGTTATTTACAGATTTCTTTTTAAATGTGGCGTCATCTTTTGAGGAAAAATTATTTTACCGAAAAATGAAGGTGCGGTAACTAAATACATAACTGGTAATAGTATATTACATAACGAGCACGGAAAGTGATAGATGACGCACAAGCAGGAAAGATGCGCACGAGGCGTTAACCGAGTGCAGGCAATACCGCGAGTGCGTTAGACACTTTCCTGCAAGTTTTGTACACTATTTTTCCTACGACCATAAATAATTTTTTTCTTACAAACATATTTTTTTTTTCATAACGATTTATTTTTTATAATGGAAACAAAAATACGTTAAATGAAAAAATACAAAACATTCGAGTGTGAATTGTGCGTTAGATTTCTAACACACAGTGCGAAAACAAATCGCACAGGTTTTCGACCTCGTACGATATTGCCAATTTTCGCGCATATGTAATTGTGCGTTATGATCTAGTCTCGTATATGGTCGTAGGAAAATGCATATTACTTCAAGTTCAAGTTTTATTATTACTTATTTTTTATATTTTTGAAAAATTATGCCTCCTTATGAATAACAATAATAACAAAATAAAAAAACACATTTTTTCAAATACCAAAAAAATTAATACATATAGGTAGGATGATTCAAACGTCTCGGAGTTGTAAAAAAAATTGTTTGTCTTTTTCTAAAGTTCAGATTTTTAGGTTAAGTTTTTGTAGTTCACATTAAAAAATCGCCAATTTGTGTACAAAACACTTGAGAAACTAGTAAATTCAACAATAAATTAAATCCGACATAATCGAAAACAAAAAAGCTAATGTGCCTATATTGATTTGGTGAAAAACTCTATAACAAGAAAAGTACTAGAATCGCTATGCTAAAATTTGTAAATTGCAGTAATTTGAAACATGTTGGGTTGGTACGCGATACGTCCGGATATTCCTACGCGGACAGTGTTTTGACACTTTTTTTATTGTAAAAGTTTAAAATACGGAAAACTGTGTCATGGAGAATGCCATGAAAGATGTTACTTACACATTCCACAACTAGGATAAGTTGTGTGCAATTATTGTAAATATTTTCATTACAATTTTTGGAGGTTAAGATACATCGACTAACATTCAAATTATTAACTTTTTAGGCCCCAGTGCCGAAACGCTACTACTGTGTGCAATAATAAAGCTGCTCAGGAACTGATTTTTCAAGACATTCCTACTAAAATGTACTTTCCTGCGAAATTCAAAGGTACTACTTTCTGGGCGGAGGATGTCGCCAACCTAATTACTTTTCTGTCACTATTTTATCATTATATATATGGAAATTTTCAGTTTTTTCTCTAAAAAAAAGTTTGACAAAGTCTGAATTCATTTTTAGGCTTACTGAAAGTCTTCTATCACGCGAAATGGTCCGACATTTTTGAATCACACTGTATATTCAGGACTACTACTAATTTCTATTTTTTAAACAATGTTTGCCACTTTGTTACTCAACTCTACACAAGGTGCCAAGAAAGATAGGAAACCAGGAATATGTTTAAAAAATTCGTCAAAAAATTGTGCCATTTGACGTTTTTTTGTCAATTTAATATTACTAGTGATCTTGTATATGTTTTTTTTATAATTATTCAGTAAAGATACAAAAACTTCAGGTCAAAATTATAAAATTACCAAAATTCAAGAAATCGCTATAATTTTTTGTTATCAAAAATTATACTTTGTCGATACTATGTCTCTCCCTACATACAGAATGAATTAGATTACAAACACCCATGTTTATTTTTTGTTAACATCCGTTTCCCTTCAATTAACAATAAAATTAGAACGCTTTGAAATAAGTTAATTTGTTGACATTGGAGAAAATAAATTTGAAAACATTTTGCACAAACTTCCGCATGTTTATAAATAGATTAATCTATAGTTTGTGAACTGATTGAAGTCCCACGGAAAAAAATATCATAAACAAAACCAAGCTAAAATGATGATCGAATATAGAGCGATGACGTCAGTGGCCACTCCACTAACTTAATAAGAAAAGAAAACCACAAATTATTAAAAGTAGCAGAGATGTCGTGTTGCGTAAGGAATTTAACACCATTTATGGTGGGTAAATATTGGCAGTAAATACAATAAATAGAAAGCTTGCACCATTCATATGTTCTGTTTACAAGTTTAGAACCGTAGTAAACAACCCTAATGCATTAAAACAGTTATTGTTGCGCCATAAAATTCTAAATTTATCGCTCATCGATTACATCGAATTATTATTTTTCCAGAATAAGGAAGTACAAAAGGCTGCTTCTGCCGCTTTCACATATTTAGTCTCATATCCCGACGATAAAATAATGTCAGCTAATCTGAAATACTACTCCTCCATGAGCGGTGTTGATATGACGGAAATAGTGAATTTCGAAGCCAAAGTAAACCGATCTAAATGCTTGGAACGTTAAATCCAAATCAGGTTTTAGGATTACGTTTATTTGTACATCCACGGTGTGGATGCCTACGAGAGGAAAGATTGGGTCGGGGTTGTGGACAACATGGAAGAGTCACTCGTGGCTTATCTGCAAGCCGACGAGGAATGTAGGGCACAGTGTGAAGGACCCTTCGACCAAGGCTGGTACCCAGACTTCATCCCGTCAATTGCCAGTAAGTCACAATTTCACAATTCCTCACCCCAATTTATTTTTCAGACCATTTCACATACTGTCTCAAATGTAAACAAAAGTGCAAAACGAAACTGAGCTCGCTAAATGGCGAAAAACACGACGATCTACTTCCCAGCCATTACCACTATTTGCAATACGCCTATTTCAAAAGTAAGTGTTTTGTAAAAAGACAAAAAAAGAAAAATGACAAGTAACAACATTAAAAAAATGTTAAAAAAATTCCTATCTATAAAAATTTCCATGTTATGAGAGTTTAAATGTTAACTGTTAGAAGAGGAAACAAAGAAGCTATGGAACCAAACGTTTTTTGCTTAAACTATTTATTTTTTGGAAAAACTAATTGATGAGTGATAAAGTACTATAAAAATGTGATGATTTAACAAGAATAAAATTTTTCGAAATTTCCTTTTGTTTTTGAGTTCTACAAAAAAAATATTGTTTTTAAATGGCAACCCACTATAAATTCATTTTTCTCTTAAAAGCTATACTCTAAGGATTACAACTATCTGCTTTATATTTAATTTTTTGAAAAAAATTTTTTTTGACAAAAAAATCGCATAACTCAAAAACAAAACAAAATTTCTTTCTGAAAATACGATCACATTGTTTACATTACTTTAATTTATAGTAATTATTATTTTCTGGAAGCAAATGATTAAAAATAAAACCGCTTGGTTCCATTCTTTATATTCATCCTGTATAAGTTTTTGCACCTTTACTGAATAAAAAACATACATACAGGGTGTTCGGTCCAAGTCGCGCCAGCCGATACGACCTAAACTTACTTTTTTTTTACAAAACTAAATTTTCAAATAATACTATTCATTCCTGGCTTTCTTAGTAAATGCATCAAATTTTTTTGGCACATCCGGTGTAGCCGGAAATGCTACCAAATTTAGTTTTTCCAATGGAACATCTATGTTTTTTTACTCGAAACAATAATAATTGTCATGAAAAATACGGTAAACAACTATTTATTACATTTTACTTTACATTATGCACTCAGAAAACAATTTAAATTTTAGAATTTTATTAGCAAATTTACTTGTCAAGGTATTCATACAAAAAGCAATATGCTTGGATATCGTTTAATTGTTATTTTGACAAAGCCTAATTTGTCAGTAAATCTTATTGATTTTTAATAATGGATTATAATAATTACCACGAATTGGTAAATCAGCTTGGAGTGTTTTTTAAGTGCAATAAAAATAGAGCGGAAGCTGAAAGACAGTATAGAGAAAAATACCCAAATAGAGTTCACCCAAATCATTGGATATTTAGTCGAATTGAAAAACAAATGAGACGAACAGCTTCTTAAAACTAAAAAACCTGTGGTTCTTGGTGAAGAACAAGAAAATAGAAATCTGAATGTTCTGTTATCAGTCGAAGAAAATCCAAGAGTTTTCATAAGAAAACTCGCCAAATTAGATTTGTCAAACCAACAATTAAACTGTGTCCCAGCCTTTTTTATTCACATCTTTCCTTTAAAATTAAAAATCACGCTACGCGACCAATTTCCTTATGAAATTCTAAGATTTAAGATGTTTTCTGATTGCATTGTGTTACGCAAAATGTAATAAATAGTGATTTACCGTATTTTTCATGCCAATTATTATTGTTTCGAGGAAAAAAACATAGGTGTTCTATTTGAAAAACTAAATTTGGTTGCATTTCCGGCAATAGGATGTGCTAAAAAAATTTGATACATTTATTAAGAAAGCCAATAATTAATATTATTACTTAAATATTTACTTTTTGAAAAAAAAGAAGTAAGTTTAGGTGTTATCAGACTTGGACCGAACACGCTGTATACAAGTCAGCGGTGACAATTGACATAAAAAAATGTCAAATGTCAAAATTTTTTGACAATATTTTTTTTTAATGTTGGTATCTTATTTTTCTTTTTTTTGTCTTTTACAAAACATCCTGTATTGACACAGTTATTTCCAGGGGGTGATTTAAAGGCTGCGTGTGCGGCTGTGGCTAGCTACTTATTGTTTTACCCAAATGACGAAACTATGTTAGAAAATAAGAAGTTTTACAGTAAATTGCCTAAGGCTAGTGACGATTTTTTTATACCAAGACCGGTAAGTACCCAATTATCGTTTTATGGTCTTTCATTTATTATCCTTAGGAAGCGCTGCATTATGTCCAAAGACACACTTACGAACAGAGGATACTGAAATTCATTGTGCATGAATACAAATTCGATGTTTCCACGGAAATTACGTCTGAGGTAGTACCTAGGTACCTTATTTTATTTAATAATCGTGATTCATGACACCAAAAATATTTACACTTGTGTTTTGCGACAGTTCGTAACCTATGACCTTTGATAAGTCAAATTTGCACGCCAATTCTGGAACAGCCTGTATGACGTTCTTTGTATTTTGAAATATGACCGAAGAGAAATTTACATAACTGTAAATAGATTTGGTGAGTCAAACTAAACAGTGGGTGTTTTACGATCCTGTAATAAACGTTACATACGCGTTTATTTTCGTGAGTAAAGAAATTGCATGTGGTTTATTAACTTGCAGGGCCACACTTCTTGAGTAGATTGACAACACTTCATCCTCAATCATGCTTGGGATTTTTACAAATGTTCTTCTAACTTTCTTATGTTTGTGGATTGTTGTACAGTTTCATTTTTAATAAACGATTTGTAATAAAGTAATTTTTTCCTTTCCCCGAGCTATTACTAAACCTGCTTCGCTTGTGGAGACTAATCCTTTGATTCATTGATTTTTTCCTCGCAGGCGTTGAAGTATCGTGTTGTAATGACAGAAAAACAACTCCGGGGTCCAAATAGATTCGTATCGGAGGGTTTGGCAACCGGTAAGGAGTGCCAAACGTTGGTGAACACCGCCAAAATGTTCGCCTTATCAGGCGATGGTTATCAAGGATATGCATCCCCGTTCACAACTTTTGAAAAGTTCAGAGGTATCACTTTAAGCCGGGCCACGGCTCTCGTCTACTTTGGTTTACTCGAACCACAGTATTTACAACTATTATTGACAATATCTGAACTTGGAAAAACAAAAATTGAAGAATTTTTCAAAATCAAAAAACCGTTATATTTCACCTACACGCATCTAGTGTGCCGATCGGCGAAACAACGTATGCAACCCTACAAACACCCGTGTTACACCAACTGCATATTTATCATTTACAGATGCTCCAAATAATCGTACAGATTACAGTCACACGATCCATGCAGATAACTGCAATTTAATTAGCGATAAAGTATGCGAAAAATTGCCCCCTTCGTACACCCACAGGGACTACAGCGCGATTATTTATTTAAATGATGACTTTGAAGGGGGCGAGTTTGTTTTCTCCGCGGACGCCAAAGGGGAGAAAATTCAGGTAAGAAGCCAGGGTATTACCACCTACATTTTTTATCTTCACTTTTTAAGAGTGTTATAAACCCGAGATGTGGAAAAATGGTTGCGTTTTCGTCCGGTTCTGAGAATCTTCACGGAGTTCGCGCTGTGAAAAAAGGATCACGTTGTGCCATCGCAATTTGGTTCACTTTTGATCCAAAACATGCAGAAACCGACAGAGACGAAGCCTGGAATGTAATCAGCAAAAAAAGTGCAAACTAAATAGTACAAAACGTTTATTTTCTGTACCTGCAACACATTCCATACTTTTAATTTCGAAAGTATGGACAATGTTAAAGTATGCCTTACCTCACTTTTGTGCATTTTTCAAAGGGTTGTGTTTGAGTAATTGTACTTAATTTAGTGTCACGTGCAGTTGTGACCCTAGTCAATGTTGTTCCAGCTCTTTTAATAAATATTTTTAATACAATTGTTTTTTTTTCTCCTGAAAATGGCTCTCTATTTTGATAATAATTGGTCTACGAACCATTCGTTTTGTAACTTTTTTGATTGAGTTTCGGGTTTACGGTAGTGCGTGCCTCATTGGGCAAACTAAATAGTACAAAAGGTTCCTTTTTTGTACCTACAACACGTTCCATACTTTTAATTTTGAAAGTATGGACAATATTTGTTAAAGTATGTCTTACCTAACTTTTGTGCATTTTTCAATGGGTTGTGTTTGATTAATTGTACTTAATTTAGTGTCACGTGCAGTTGTGACCTTAGTCAATGTTGTTCCAGCTCTTTTAATAAATATTTTTAATACAAATGTTTTTTTTTTCTCCTGAAAATGGCTCTCTATTTTGATAATAATTGATCTACGAATCACTCGTTTTGTAACTTTTTTGATTGAGTTTAGGGTCTTGAAGGGTCTTGGATACCAGGAACATGGAAAAAATGTTTAAAAAACTCTGTCAAAAAATTTTGACGTTTATTTTTTGACATTTGACATTTTTTATGTCTTTAATGATAATGTTGTTATGTTTTTTATAATTACTTAGTAAAGGTACAAAAATTTTGACAATAAAAGCTACAAATAACGTTAAATTTAGGACACAGCTTCCTTTTTTTCTCTTCTAATAGCCTGTAGCAAAAAAACTTGGAAATTATTTTTCCTACAGAAAAAGAGCAAAATTTAAACTCTCATAACTATAAATAGAATTTTTTATCATTTTTTCCATGTTCCTGGTAACTTACCTTACATGGATGGCATTTTTCTCTGGGGCGCGAGTTCTGGCGCACTCTGTATTTATAAAATTGGAAATGAGACCCGACCATGTATTAATTTTTAGTGGGCCATAAACTACATCACTTAGGGGGTTTAAAAAAACTGTAAAAGGATTTGTAACCCCAACATAGTTTCACATTGTTTAAAAATTTGGTTTTCTGGTAAATTCCAAAAATAAAAACTTGTCAAAGTCCGAATTTTTCTGGTCGATGATTTCGTCCAGAGACGTATTAACGGGAATTATCCTCGATTAGAAGGCTTTTTAAAATATCCTGAAATAAATATTTGTAATTGCTTCTAAAAATAGGTACCTAAGCACGGGATTGCCCCAAAAATATAGGTTACTTTGTGTTCAATTAGGAATTAAAATAGTTTAAATTATGGTGTGACAGTGAACTAAAAAATTATTGCAATAAGAGTAAAATTAAATTCGAGCTTTAAATAATAAATAATAAATTTAAAAAAAGAACGTGTGAATAAAATCCACAGGCAGCTTTTTTATAATTAGCAGCCTCTGTGGGTTAAGGTGCTCATGGTGAATGAGACTTTATAATCCATTTGGTTTAGATTAAGTCATTTAGAGATTGCGCGGAACTTGTTGAATTCGGGGAGCGTCGTCGTGCGTCGCTTTAGCTTAACCCCCAGTGGCGTAGCACGAATTTTCGCCCTGTATTTCCCAACCTACGGCCCCCAAATCGCACCCCTCCAACTTACAGGCAATCGTCGGGGTTTAAACCACCCCTAGTGGTGCAATTCCGGCCCCAAATCCGGTTTTTAGACCGGTAAAGTGGCGCTATGTGAACAATTCGCGTACGCCACTGGCCGGCGTCGCGGTGATATGTGATGGCCCAACATAATCTGGGTTTTCAGTGCGAGACGTTAATGTGACGGGTGTAGTGATCACACGCCATGGAGGTCTGCCGGAGGTCCTCGTGGCTTTTGCTGCTTCTTGGAGTTTCGCTCCTCGCCACTACCTTGCAGGGTACGTTCGAAAAAAACAACGCCGAAAAAGTGATTTTTATGAATTCGATTAAGTGGTGCGTGGTGGTTGAAAACACGGGGTAGTGGTGCAAAATTCTAGTGATTTCACTTAAAATTATATAATGTGTGGCAGCCATGATTCCATACATATTCGTGCTATATAATATGATATGTTATTTTTGGACGATACCAGTTTCTAATAATAAAAATTTTCGCAAATAAACTTACTTCTATAAATAAAAATATTTCACACCGGCCGACCAAAATTGACAATAAATTCACCTCTAAGGTTGCTTCTTGTAAATATTTAAGCAATTTTGAGTAAATTATTTGGGGGAGAAGTTGGAGTTTACTTTGCGAATTGGGTGAGCCGGGAAAATGGCTGAAATTCAATACCGACTTTTGGGATATTAAAAATTTCAAAGGTGGCTCAGTATTTGAAAAAAATGTAAAATCGCTGATCTAAAAGTAGCTAAGTACCTACTGCAACTGACGACATCGGCAAATCGCCAGCAAAGGCTACCCTAGACTGTGTTACCGATTTAGATCAGACACCAACCGTGGATAAAACAATTTCAACTATTACTGCCCTTGTACCTCTTATCTTAATTAAAAATTACCATTAACCAATTTTCCTCAAACCGAAATTTATTTAAGTAACACAAATTACGCGACTTTTCTGCAACAATAAAACAATGCAAGAACAGTAGTTAATAATTTGCAAATTAAGACAATAAAACTAATTTTACACACTATCGTATTTTCCATGCCATAATATAAAATCACAGCTGTTTGCTTGGCTTTGAGCCAACAGATTAAATATCAGAGTGAATCCATAATTACTCTAGAAAAAAGTTACAAAATTGTTTTTTGAAACGAACTGAGGTTATTTTTTAAAGGTGTGCAAGGTGAGGCAGAGTCAGAAGGCCCTTCCGAATCGGAATGCCGGCCTTACATCGAGAAAGCTCTCAAAGAGCTTGAAACAGGTGAAACGGCCGGTACAACAGGAACTCCAGAATCCGGGGACAGTAAAGAAGATACTCCTCCTGTAGTTGAAGTCACTACCGACGACTCCGATCACCATGAAGGTGAAGGAGATGACGATACTCACGAAGAAGGAACTAGCATCGAAAGCGTCGAAGCCGAACAACAATCTGAACAAGAGGTAAAACTTCCTTCCCAAATCAAAAAAATCATATTTCTTTTATAGGACACTCAAGAACACGCAAGTGTTGAAGAAACTGATAAGGTAAGTAGACCATAACGTTTTTTTGTTTGATTACGATCAAACAAATAGGAGACGACTGAAGAAGAAACTCAAGGTGAAACTGTAGAAGAAGAAAAAGCTGAATCGGTTGAAACTACAGAAACTCAAAGTGTAGAAGAAGAAAGAGCTGAATCTAATGAAACTGCAGAAGGGCACGAAAGTGTAGAAGAAGAAAAGGCTAAATCTGTTGAAACCGCAGAAGGGCATGACAGTGTGGAAGAAGAAAAGGCTGAAACTGCTGAAACCGCAGAAGGGCATGACATTGTAGAAGAAGAAAAGGCTGAAAGTGCTGAAACCGCAGAAGGGCATGACAGTGTAGAAGAAGAAAAGGCTGAAACTGCCGAAACCGCAGAAGACAGTGTTGAAGAAGAAAAGGCTGAAACTGTTGAAACCACAGAAGGGCATGAAAGTGTAGAAGACGACAAAGCTGAATCTACTGAAACTATAGAAGAAAAAGTAGAGTCGTTTGAAGAAACTGAGCAACAAGAAGCTGGTGAAACTGAAAGTGTGGAAGATGATAAAATCGAAACCAAAGAAGATGAGAACGACACTAAGGAAGAAACCAAAGAAGATGATAAAAGCGATACTAAAAGTGACGTCACCGAGGATAATAAAAGTGCCTCTCAAGAGGAACAAGGCGGTAGTACAGAAGCTGAAACAACTGGAGGTCTTGATGAAAGAAGTGCAGAAAAAGACGACAGTACTCCTGACGAAACTAAAGAAGAAAGCAAAGAAGATGAGGCAGCAGAAAACGTAACTGAGGAGACGGAAGAAGAAGGCGATTCGGCCCCCGAAGAAGAGCTGTCGCTCGATATCGAAATTCCGAGCGAATTAAGAGATAGAAATCATGTCGAACATTTGTTGAAATTGGACGATGAGTCGTCCGAAACCGAAGAGATTATCAATCGCGTGGCGGAGATAACCCTTCGGGAATTGAAGAAATTGTACGAGAATGCGATAAAACCGTTGGAGGTTTTGTACAAGTATCGCGATTTGAGTAATCGCCATTTCGGCGATGCTGAAATTTTTTCAAAGCCATTGATACTGTTTATGGGACCGTGGAGTGGTGGCAAATCGTCGATTATTAATTATTTGCTTGACAATGAATATAATGAAACTTCGCTAAGGACAGGAGCTGAGCCGTCTCCTGCCTATTTCAACATTTTGATGTACGGTGAAGAGCCAGAAATTTGGGATGGGACTCAATTAGCCGCCGACTTTACATTTTCTGGTTTGCAAAAATTTGGACAAGGTTTAGAAGAGCGACTTCGTGGTGTGAGACTGCCAAGCAAACTATTAGAAAAAGTAACCAATCCCAAAACTAGTGACTCAAATTAACCCCAATTACTTCCAGGTCAATATAGTTGAAATTCCGGGAATTTTAGAAGTACGCAAACAAGTTTCACGCGTATTTCCCTTCAATGACGCCTGCCAATGGTTTATTGACAGAGCCGACATTATATTTTTAGTATACGATCCTTCAAAATTAGACGTTGGACCTGAAACTGAAGCTATTCTCGACCAATTAAAGGGCAGAGAGCATCAGGTATCAAACCAAACCACCGATTAACTCAATTCATTGAAATTTTCAGACACGCATCATTTTGAATAAAGCCGACCAGGTCAAACCTGAGGAATTGATGAGGGTCCAAGGAGCCCTAATTTGGAACATTTCTCCTCTTATGTCATCCCCTCAGCCCCCCGTCATGTACACCACCTCGCTGTGGTCCCGACCTTACGAATCCTGGGCCCCTGTCCGACTCCTCCAAGCCCAAGAACGCGCGTTTTTGCGCGATTTGCGCACAGCTGTTGAAAAACGCATCGAGAATAAAATCGCCAGCGCACGTAGATTTGCGGTAAGCGAAGATTTCTCGCCCACAGGGTGTCTTATGCACAAGTAAAATAAGATACCAGGAACATTTGCGCATTTTAACAGAAAAGTCAATTTTTCAAAATTTAGTAACTTTTGCTACAATGAGGTGGTGGTTGGTAATAAATGTCAAGTTTCAAAAATTTTGTTGAATTCACAATGAATACTGAAAATATTTCATACACACCACCTGACAAAAGAAAAATCGCTCAAAACGCCGCTGAAAATCACCATTACCAACCTCTACAATGTAAATTTACTAGTCTATTTCAGCCCCCGAATTGGTGTTAAAATGGCTCATTAAAGCATCGGTTTTGGTATTGAAATAAGCTTTCTTTCAGACGCAAAATAGAAAAATTATTTTACGTGTTCTTTTACAAGATCATACATAAAAGTGTCAAATGTCAAAAAATAAATGTCAAACATTTTTGACAGATAGAATTTAAAAAAAAACACTTTTTTGTTTCTGGTATCTTATCTTACGTGGAATTTTTCTTGTTTTTGTGTTTGTATAAAACACCCAGTATTGGAGCACCCAATTTCTTCTTTTGCCAGGTTCGTGTGCGCAACCACGCCAAGATGGTGGACTGCTACTTGACGACTTATTACAACCACAAGTCGGTTTTCGGTAACCGGAAACAGGTCGCCGATGAGATAATTGAGCACCCCCAGGATTACCACATCTACGAAGGACTTTCGACTCTTACAAACATCTCGCGTTATGACTTGCCGGATCCTGACGTGTATAGAGATTTCTTCAAGTTGAATCCGTTATACGACTTCCAGCAACTCTCGGCGACGTGCACCTATTTCAGAGGGTGTCCTATTAATAGGCTGGATGTGGCAATCGCCTACGATCTCCCTGAATTAGTCGGAAAACACAAGCGAATGGTGGAAAGCGCTTTGGCTGAAGCCAATCAAACGCCAGTACCGGGCAGTTGAACGCTCGCCAAGGACCAAGTTTTCAGCCCTTGAGCAGAATTCTCTGCAAGTTAAAGACTCCGACGCTAAAATAGCGTCACGTGTGTCGCAATTCGTCTTCATGGACTGATATGTGAAGTGCACGGACAATAGTCAGCCACGCTTATAAATAGTCTCCTGCCATGTGTGTTGATCGCATTTAAGAGTTCTTGCAATCGGAGTGTTCATTCAGAAATCGATTTCAAAAGAGAGTGGGTTATATGTATTTTTTGACACCAGATGTACAATTCCTTACCAGCTTTACTAAATTAAAGTGTTTCTAATTGTAGTAATGTGTATATTATTTATGTACAAATAATCGAATTTGTAGTAAATAACTTAGTTTTTATTTTCTCATCTCTTTTTTTTTCAAGCAAAAATATATAACAATTGTAAGAAGACATAGGTTAAGTACTTAAATAAAACAATATATTTTCATTCGTTGCTTTATTTTTAACTCGAAACTTGCCAAAAACATTTTACACATCGTTACCCTACTCATTACCAACCAATAAAACACTAGAAATAATTCATAATTGAGTGGTCTGTTTCTAAAATGACTAAATTTAGGTCAAATATTCGCCTCGCAAGACACCTGACTGGCGCCAAATCGTATTATTAGAACCAGTTAAAACCTGGCCTGTGCAATATTTCTGGCAAATTGTTCAATCATTAATTATTTAACCGACACAAAAATAGATTTTTTAAGGGTCTATACTTAATTGAAAACCAGTCAAATTAAAAAAATCCTTTATTAAAAAAACGAAACGAACGAAACAACACAACAAAATCTTAATCTAGTCAGTTCTTGTTTTTTTCTGAGGGGGTTCACCCTCATCACAGACTTTAGTCACTTTTTTCATGTCATCTAAGCCCACCATGTAGATTTTTTCATCACCGATGGACTTACCCTTGACGATGTAGGACACCGTAGAATACATAGTGTATCCTCTATCAATACTTAGGTACTTTTGTAGTAAAAGGAATGCGATAACAATCTCGGCATGCTCTTTACTCATTTTCGGGCGTTCCATATTTGGCACTCGGAATTTTTTCGGGCCGCTGTGATACCAAGCATCTAGTAGTTTAATTAGAGTCAGTTTCTCGTTGAATCCTTCTGCTTGATATATCAAGGCTTGAATGTCTTTGCAAAATTTCGTTAAGTCATAATGTACGGAGATCTTTGTCTCGAGTTTGCAAATATCGCACATTTTGTTGCAATCGCTTGCTTCCCACACTTGTTCAAAATAAGAGGCTAAAATCGAGCGACGACATCTGGAAAATTAGGCGAATTAAGCGAAACTTGAAATGAGTTTAAACCAACTGTAAGCGCTCAACGCAGTATTCTAGCACTTGTTGAGCCTTTTTCTCTTCCAGTACCGAAGTTGACACTGCTGAAATTTTTAAGTAATCGTTTAAACTAAATAGGACTATGCAATCGGCGTTTTCGCCGTCTCTGCCAGCTCTGCCACTTTCCTGATATAAGCTTTCCATGCTTCTCGGAATCACGTGATGGATTACAAACCTGACATCAGGTTTATCTAAGAATTACAGAAATCAAGTTTTTTTCCAGTAAGCTACACTACTAAAAATTAAACGAACAAAAAATTCTCCTAATTTTTTTGGTGTTTTTGAAAGGCTGTAACTCCACTGGTTTAAAAAAAAATTGAAGCTTTAAGTTTCTAGTTTAGAGATCTAAAAAAAAAAATTCTGTGCTACGGTTATAACGTAATAGTGATAGCGCGAGAAAAAAATATGTTTTTGTTTTTAGTCGAAATTTTTTTAAAGTTTTACCTTTACCGTTTACCTTTAATATGTTTTTTTGACATTTTCTTTCAGTCAAATTTTCGCTGAGACATCTGATTTTAAATAAAATAATAATAATAATAATAAAAGATTTTTATTAAATAAAATTAAAAGTAATACCAAGATGCGGAGGCAAAGTGTAGCTAGAAGCTAATTCAACTTATCCTTAAAAGAAAAGTAATAAAAAAGAAACAATAATAATACCTAATAAAAACAAAAATAATTATTATAAACCATATAAAATTTAAATAAAAATAAATTCGGAAATTAAAGGTAAAAAAAACCATTGTCAGTCTCTCAAGAAGAAAATAAAAACAAGAAAGAACAAGAAAAATTGAACAGAAACAAATTCTTTTTTTTTTGTTTAAAAATAAATTCGGAAATTACTTAATAACTAAAGGTAAAGAACAAGAAAAATTGAACAGAAATAAATTCTTTTGCATTTATTTTTACTACACAATCACAAATATTGATAGGAGAGTAATGTTTTTAGGTATTTCTACAGCTTAATGTACAATTGCGTGCAAAAGATTTTGGTCGTCAATGTCACTAAAAAAATATTTTTCTATGTCAGAAATTTTGTAATTTACCCTTGGTGATTGATTTTACTGTCTCAAAAAGTCAAAAATGTCGAAAAACTTTCTGATATTGCTAAAACTATGGCACGAATTTCAAATAATACAAAAATAAGTTTGTCGAAAAATAACATTGACGACCAAAATCTTTTGCATCCGACTGTACCTTGCATATAAAACTTTTAAATCGATCCAACACATAACCAACACAACCAATAATTGATCAAAGAATTAAAGGAAGAATTGTACACATTGTTTTTGAACATCGTTTAATCTTCGTCAAAATGAGAAAAATATTTTTTTTTTACAATTTTGCATTAGTTAAATTTGAAAAAAAAAATTTTGATTTTTTTTTTCAAAAATTAATCAGTATTGTTTCTTGAATTTTTTTACAAATTAAAAAAATCCTAATACTTACATTTTTTTGATTTTTTTAAAATTAAGTAGTATATTGTTTCTTTAATGTTTTTACAAATTAAAAAAAATCAAAAAACAATTTTTTGTTTATTTTTTTTAATTTTTAGCAAATAACTAACTAATGCAAAATTGTAAGAAAGTCGAAAAAAAATGTTTTTTTTTATTTTGATGAAAATTAGGCAATGTTCAGAAACAATACAAGGTGATTCTTTTGGGGCCTACATTGGAAACGTTTTAACTTCTAATGCAGATAGAAACTTGAAATTTTGTACACACCCCAAACCGAGCAGTCTGAGTTTAACTAAATTATTTTCAAAATGGCTGTACTTTCAATTGCCGTTGAGAAAATAGGGTCATTAAAAAAAAAAAAAACTAAGTTATAGCTGTTTGTTAATCATCACTTTCAAAAAATCATATTAACTTTGCAATTTGACAGTTGACAATTTTGAAAATTTTAGAAAACTCTTCGAATCTTTGGTTATCGAATGCAAGAAAAATTATTCACTTATCGCAAAAGGTTCAAGAGCTGTGATGTTTTAAATGAACCTATGCAAAAGAAAATTTGACCAAAAAATTGACATATGTCAAAAACTATGATAGATAATTTTATGTACAAAATTTCAAATTCCTATCTGCATTAGAAGTTAAAAGGCCCTAAAAGAATCACCCTGTATATGCAATTGTTACTTTAATTCTTTTGCAAAACTTTGATCAATCGGCCCGAGAAAACGGTTAAACGGTTTAATGGATCGATTTAAAAATTAGCAGGGCTATGAGAAGAAAAAGTAACTTTTTTCTTTAAATCAATGTTGAGTTTAAAAAAAAAATATTTTTTTAAAAATCATAAAAGGATCTTGTAACACATTTATTTCAGTTTTTGACACTACCCTTTTTATTTTATTCGGATTTAAATCGGATCCTTTTTCATTTAAAATCAGCAACAAAATGACGTAAAGAGAATATGAAAAAAGCATATTAAAGATAAATAAACATGATATTCGGCCTATGCATTGACTTAACTAAAAAAAGTTCTCCACAATTCTCCACGTCCGCAAAAACAAAAATTTAGATTTTTTTTCTTGCTCAATTGCGTGATAACCGTAGCAAAAAAAATTGACAAAAGAGAACTAGAAACTTAAAGCTTCAAAATGGTTTATTTAAAATCTAGATACGACCATTTTTCGATGAGTTTCAGCCTTCCAAAAATCATCAAAAAATTTAGAAAAATTTTTGTTCCTTTAATTTTAAATAGTGTATAATCAAATTTACCAATGCCCATGCCAAAGGCAACGGTTGCAACAACTACTTGATATCTATTATCCAGCCACTTTTTATGTATTTCTTTCTTTTGGTCAGGATCCAATTGGGCATGAAATGGGGCGACTTTCAGTTTCCTGGCTTTTAAGTCAGTAGCCAAGTTAATGCATTCATTTATGGTATTGGTATAAATAATCCCGCTCTGACCCGCGTACTGCTCTTTCATGAGTTTCTCTAAATAAGTTAAAACTTCGTTTTTGGTATGCGGTTTGGGCAAAACTTGGTAACACAAATTCGGTCTATTAAAAGGTGCAGTGATGATCATACAGTTGTCAAGATTCAACATTGATTGTACATCATTTAAAACCGCCATTGTGGCAGTCGCGGTTAGCCCCAAAACCGGCACTTTCTCCAACACGGACCGAACCAACCCCAAGTAGGGGTAATCGGGACGAAAATCGTGCCCCCAAGTCGAGCAACAATGCACCTCATCTTAAAAAACACAATCACCCCTTGGATCCACCCCGAGAAACTTACCAATTGCAATCCTCGCCACCCTCTTCGACTCGTAGCATTTTTTCAAAACCGACATAAACTTTTTGCTTCTCGCGATCCACTCAGGAGTCACATATAACAACTTCAAAGTCGATTTTTTATCAGTCATCAAGTTGTAAATCTCTTTGATTTCATTTTTCGACGTACTTGCGTTAATTGTGGCAGCTTCGATGTTGAATTTTTCAGAAGCGACTAACTGATCTTGAATTAGTGACACCAAAGGGGTTACTACCAGTGTAAAACCCGGGTCTATAAGGGCCGGAAGTTGGAAAACTAGTGATTTTCCACCCCCTGTTGGCATGACAAGAAGCACGTCTTTCTTGGAGAGGGTGGCATTGATGGCGGCGAGTTGTTTAGGCCGGAAATCATCAAATTTGAATTTTTCCTTCAACAGTGACTTGAGTTTAGCCGACCACGTGAATTTTTCTTCAAGCCATTCGTTTAAGGTACTCTCAGTTAGGGCAATTCGTTTTCGATTTTCTTCAAGGGATTTCAACCGTTTTAATTCTTCTAAAGTGCTACAAGCTTTCGCATATTCCTCTTTGGCATCCGCCAGTTGCTTTTCCAACGACTTGACCAATTTCGACTTTTCCGCACAATCAATTTCGGCTTTTTCCAAGTCGCTCATTTTATAACTACGCTAGAACACAAAAACTGTCACAATTATCACAATTAAAAATACTGTTTTTTGCATTTATCACCGCCTTTTTGGCAAAAACTAAGCAAAACAACCGAAATTGGGTTATGTTTTCAAAGTTTTCAAACTACAGGAAACTGTATTGCCGAGATTCACCATTTACACCTAACTTCATTGTGCTCAATCACTGCGGTAAAATTAGCAACAAAACAGTGACGTACGTGGAGGTGAGTTAAATTTTAACCGTTTTTAACTAAATTAAACAAGAAGGAAAGGTATTTAAGCGAAAATTTGTTTATTTGTGGTATTTACTAGTAATAATTTGATTGGTTGTACTTGCTGATGTAGTTTTTATATTTTGAGGTTATGTTTGTGCAAGACTCATTGTTTTGTCTGTTTTTAAGAATGATAAAGCATTGTTTCGTTAATCCTTAGGTGGCATTAAACAATGACTGATTTACCAACGGAACTCGACTTTCCTGTTAGCGGCTTATTACCAAAGAAGGAAACAGCCGTTAGCTCATTTTTGACCAAATATCCTCAGTATGATGGAAGAGGTACAGTTATAGCAATTTTTGATTCAGGAGTCGATCCGGGAGCACCGGGATTACAGGTATAATCTTTATTTGTTTTAATCCCAACTTAGGAGTTTCCTTTGTAGAAAACATCTGATGGCAAAGTTAAAGTCATTCATAGATTTGACTGCAGCGGTTGTGGCGATGTTGACACAAAAACTATTGTACAAGCGTATGATTCTTATATAACTGCGCTTAGTGGTAAAAACCTCAAGGTAATTATAAACAAATGTGTGAACATTTAACAATTTTTCTTCTAAAACACAGATCCCAAGCACGTGGAACAACCCTACAAATTGTTATAGAGTGGGGCTTAAACACGCTTATGACTTATACCCTGAACGATTAGAAGAACGCATGACTTCTGAATACAAAGAGAAAAAATGGGATGAACATCACCGGAAAGCTGTTGCTGAGGCCAATAGACAGTTAGCTGAGTTTGAAGCGAAACACACAAGTTTGTTTTTCTTTAAAACGGTCAACAATTCGGTTAGAAATTACGCATTTTCAAGGTTCCAATCTCTCCGATGCGGACAAACTCATCAAAGATGATCTTGAAACAAAACTTGAAATCCTGACAAATTATGAAAAAAAATTTCACGACGCTGGACCAGTCTACGACTGTATTCTTTTCCATGATGGTGAACAATGGCAATGTTGCGTGGACACTTCCGATGATGGAGATCTCGAAAAGTGCCCCCTTTTGGGCGAGTATAGTCTCACTCACGATTATACTGCTCTGACACCAGAAGACAATCTAAATTTCAGTATGAATGTTCACGATAATGGCGATACACTAGAATTAGTTGGCCTTTGTTGTATGTATAATGTTTAGGGAACGCTTTTTTTCTAAATTGGGGTTGTAGCGAGTCACGGGACTCACGTTGCCTCCATTGCTGCTGCTTATTTCCCTGATAATCCTGAGCAATGTGGGGTTGCACCCGGGGCGCAGATTGTCTCATTTACCATTGGTGATGGGCGATTGGGCTCAATGGAGACAGGGACGGCACTAGTTAGGGCTATAATTAAGCTGATGGAGATGTCAAAAACGCTCAAAATTCACGTTATTAACATGAGCTATGGGGAACATGCGCACTTTTCAGATGGCGGGTAAGGCGAACAACCACTCAAAACAACACTTTAACACTTTTTTAATTCAAACACTAAAAAATGTCAAATGTCAATTGTGGAAATAAAACTCATGGCCCACTATTGTTTTCTGAGTTTGGGGATACAAGCCAGTGGTTTTTTATTCTAATTCAAAACCTGCCGTGTTAATAAAAAACACAATTCTTACTAAAATTTCGCATTTGAGTTGTTTTCTCCCCCACAAAAACGCTTCAAACACTCACTTTTTGTTTCATATTAATATGCATCAAGTAGGTTGTGGAAGTCTAAATGAATCTAAAAAGTGTCATTAATGTCATTCAGTGTTAATTTTAATTATTTTTTGCTACATGGGGTAAACATTTATTTGAAAAAAATAATTTTAGGGAAGGTTGAGGTTAGGTTTGATCCCGTTCAACGACTACTTCAATGCACATTAATATAAAAACGAATATAACAATTACCAACTTTGCAACAAGAAATTACTCATTGTTCAAACTCTGAATATACAGGGTGATGCAAGTTAAAACACCATTTTTTAATATTAGTTAATTAAATTGTTTTGCTTTTTCTAATAACTCTTGAATTTGGTGTCAAATTGTGTCAAATTCGAATTTTCAGACGTATCGGAGAGCTGATGAATGAAGTGGTCAATAAATACGGGGTGGTATGGGTGGCTTCCGCCGGCAACCACGGCCCTGCTTTAAGCACCATTGGTACGCCCCCTGATATAAGCCAGGAGACCATAATCGGTGTTGGGGCTTACGTATCGCCAGAAATGATGGTGGCGGCTTATTCCATGCGTCAAAAACTGCCAGGTATTGAAAAAGACAGTTTGACAAATTTCTACCATTGTTATTTTTAAGGCATGCCGTTTACTTGGTCGTCACGGGGCCCATGTATAGATGGTGGTGTTGGTGTTACGATTTGTGCACCAGGTGGCGCTGTAACATCCGTCCCGAATTGTACTCTTCGATACTCGCAATTGATGAATGGGACCTCGATGGCGTCCCCCCATGTCGCAGGGGCTGTTAGTTTACTAGTGTCAGGGTTGATTCAGCAAAATTTGTTCTATTCGCCATATAGTATCAAGCGGGCTATTGAAAACACAGCGAGTGTTTTGCAAGGTGTTGAGGTTTTTGCTCAAGGAAGTGGTTTGCTTCAAGTTGATAAGTGTTTCGAGTGGTTGGTGAAGCACTACATGACGCAGGAACAAAATGTTAGGTTTCATGTTAGTTGCGGCTCGTCGAACTCCAAGGGGATTTATATTCGGTCAAAACCGACGAAGAGTCCTTGTTCGTATAATATATCAGTCGAGCCGAATTTTCTTGACTCGGATAATGTGGGATCAGACATTAAAATTAAATTTAACATGAAGTTAGCATTGGTTTGTAATGCTTCATATGTGAGTTGTCCGACTCATTTGGACGTCTCGAATGCTAGTCGAGTGTTTGCTATTAAAATTGACCCAACTGAATTACCAATGGGGGTCCATAGTACATTTATAGAAGCGTTTGATGTCAGTTGTGTCTCTAAGGGTCCAGTTTTCAAAATACCGATCACAGTAATCCAACCAATTGAAGTGAAACCGCCCAAACATACAGTTTCCTACAATTCGGTTCTTTTCAAACCAAACACCATTAAAAGACACTTTTTTGTGGTCCCTCATTTCGCCACATGGGCTGTTCTACGTATGGCTTCGACGGACGAAAATGGAGTTGGTAGATTTGTAGTACATTCCATGCATTTGCTACCAAAGCAAAGTTGCAAGACATTAGAATCGAACAAAGCGGTTACCGTCACGGCAAACGTCGATTCGGTTATCAGTTTTCAAGTTAGAAGCAATGTTGTCTTGGAGGTTGTCATTGCAAAGTATTGGGCCAACTTAGGCGAACTTAATTTAGATTACTCGATTTCGTTTTATGGAATTAAACCTAACCAACAATCGATTACCATGCATGCGGCTGATGGGATCCATTCCGTTGAAGTGACTTCGCTACAAGGGGAGGAAATCCTACCGTCGATCACTTTGAAAAATTCCGTCCAAATTTTGAAGTAAGTTTTTAAACCAAAATTCCCATTTTATACAAGTTTCTAGGCCGGCTGAGGGAAAAGTCTCGCCACTTACAGCAAGGGATGTTATCCCCCCCAACCGGCAGATTTATGAGCTCCTCCTAGTGTATAATTTTACCCTAACTAAAGCAACAGAAGTGTCACCAAATATAGCTCTACTCAGCGATGTTTTATACGAGTCAGAGTTTGAATCGCAATTATGGTTGTTGTTTGACTCTAGTAAACAGCTCTTAGGTTGTGGTGACGCCTATCCGTCAAAGGTATGTTTTTAAGGGCGTGGCATTTAACCGCCCCGCCCTGTATCTTCTCACTAACCACCAAATTTTAGTATTCTATTAAACTAGAAAAAGGCGATTATGTGATTCGTCTTCATGTGAGACATGAGAAAAAGGAATATTTGGATAAATTAACTGAAATTCCATTGTTGTTGCAACAAAAATTAAGCAATGCGATTACATTGGATGTTTATAGTAGTTATTCTCAAGCTGCAATTGCTGGTAAAAAGTCAAATGTTAGTCATGGATTGCATTCCACTGTTATACCCTTTTATATTGCTCCTCTACCTGCCGATAAGTAGGTATCTGTAATTTTGTGTTTTCTCAAAACTGACAAATATATAGGTTCATAGCTAAGTCTAACAACCCGGCGCAGTTCCTCACCGGTTATATCACTTATTGTAAGGATGATTTAGGAAAGAAAGTTGATTCCCACCCTTTCAAATATATTTTATTTGATGCTTCTCCCTCGAAAAAAACCTCGAATGGTGGTACTGGATTCGAGAAAAGTGACAAAAATAAACTAGAGGAGTGTAGGGAACAAGTCCGGGATTTGAAAACCCAATTCTTGTCCAAATTAGGTAATGTCACGTGACCACTCAACTAGGTTATAGCCCGGGTTTTCAGATCCTTTAAATGCGGAGAAATTTTATGATGAATTTTTGACTAAATATCCAGATCATCTGCCTCTCCACACCGCCTATTTACAAGCCGTTGATCCAATTGACACAAGGAGGCCCTATCCGAACTTACTAGTTAATATTCAAGCTACTATGATTAATAAAGATGTCCAACTTAAATACATTGCTATTTGTGACAAAGTGATAGAAAATATTAGCGAAGAGGGAATTTTGGCCTTCTCAGCCATGAAGGCTGATCTGCGATCCGATGCTTCCAAAATTAAAACGTAAGCCCCCCCCCCCTCTGGGATGTTCTCGTTCCGAAGTGGCATTTTTCAGGTCGATGGATCAAAAACGTACCATTTATTTGGAGTGTTTGTGTCGCAAAGGTATCATTTTATGTCGCTTGTATAAGCTTGAGGAAAAAGAAGACTATTTGGAGAGAATCGCAGGGATTTGGAAGTCTTTGGTCCGGTTTGTTGACCCAAATGATGCGAAGGTTTGTCCCCAAGTGTCTTTTCTCCGTGTTTTATTATTTCATTTCAGGTGGTGACACCTTATCTGGTCTTTTTTATGATGTGGCACGCCCATGTCCATAAACAATATGGCCGAGTGTTGAAATACACCATGCGAATGCAAGAAGAAAAACCTTGCAAGGAGTTGGAAGATAGAATTATCGACTTGTGCAGAATGAACGGCTGGGAGTATTTAGCAGATCATTTGCAAAGAAATATACTTTCGAAATTCCCTCAATCGTATCGACCTTTTTAAATAGTTAGCAATGTTTTTTTAGCTTTTGTTTTTACGGGTAGTTGTTTCAAAATAATTGCCAAATTGCTTTTTCATGTTTTTCTTGTTACCTGTGCTGTTGGAATGAATAATAAACGCATTTTTCTGAAACATTTATTTTTTTACAAAACCTACATCAAATCGGTGAGAGAGTCCGTTTTTCGACTGGAGTCAACTCCGGGTGCCACACATCCACAATAAGGACAAGTCGGAGTGAAGTTCCATTGTGCCAAACTTCATGCTCGAAACTGTCGTCAAAAACGAGTACTTCCCCCTCTTTCCAACTCCTACGAAAACCAATCAATGACAAGTACACACTAAACCACGCCCACCTGGTTTTCTCAGCAACCCGGATAAAAGTATTAGCCGGGACCTGAAGTCCTAAATGTACTCTCAACCTACAATTTGTTGGTCCACAGTGAGGCCACACGTGAGTCCCTGGATGCATCACACTGAATTTAGTTTGCCCCCTTTTACACCCTTTAGCATCAGGGACACTTTCGATGATTTTGCAAGTAAGGGGGCACTTTTTGCAATTGTTGATGTTTTTGTGCCCCCTTGCAAAAAGTTCGAACTGTTTCCAATCGCCCGTGTCTTTCAAATTTTCCGATTCGGCTTGGAAGTGGCCATCTTTGTTCAAAACGGAAATACCCTCAGCTCGGATTTGTTTCCAGTTGGTTTCCAACGCTTGGAAGAGGTTTAAGTAGGGAGTTTCTTCTTTTTTCCACCAAGGTTGGCCCTTGAGACGTGCAACGTTATAAAGAGATCGTTGGTACTTAGATAAGAAGAGATTGTTTCGGACGCCATCTTGGTACACCTTGAAAGTGAATTTTTGACAAGAAATTTGGGACAAACGGGTGAATTACGTTCATAGCGTCTTTTGTGCGACCAACACGAGCTAATGCGTCCCCCAAATGAAAGTAAAAACGGCCATCGACCACTCCAGGCGCCCTTGTGGAAATCCCCCTTTCCAAATAACTTATAGACTCGTTCAAATTGTTGTCAACTGTTTTAAGAATAAATCCGTAATGGACAAGAGCAAAACCATCATTTGGGTTTTTAGAGAGTGTCTCTTGCAAAATTTGTCGAGCCGTGTTTACACTAGAAAAAATCAAATACCAACTGTATGAAACTAATTACAACACAAATACCGGTTTATTGTCAATAAACTGACCACTAATTGATTCCGATGGTGTGTTTTTTGCGGAAACCGAGCAATTAACTTGTAATGAACCTCAATAGCACGGTTGTAATTACCTAAAAATCCATCAAATTCAAGTGTCAATAAACAAAAAGTAATTACCGATAAATCTCATCCGGTTGATACACCTCTCAGCTGCTGCTTCGAATAAGACATTTGGGACGTCCTTAAGTTCCAGAATTTTCAAATAAGCATCAATTGCCTTTTGTAACAATTCATTACTTCTTTTTTGTTCGGCTAAAACGTCCAAAGCTTGGGCTTTTCCGTAGAGACTTCTGGGTGAAGAGGAATAGTTTTGGAGGAGGGCATCAAAAAGCTTAAGTGCATAAGCCGTATTCTAGTATTAGGAAAAACAAGCAAACCGTTAGTAGAGTTACGAAATTTATCAACAATTTGGTAAGTGCGGAAAAATTGTTGATAAGTTTTTGTACCAAAATAATTTATTAGAAACAAACAACACTTTATTGAAACACTCCAAAGGCGATTGGCTGCTTTACACACAAATCTACAAAAATTAAAACAAAACAATAGCTAGGAAATTAATGGAATTTTCCCGTAATCACTCCTAGAGAGAAAATCGGTTTGAATTTGCCCCCAAGTGAAGATTTACTCACATTTTGAATGCTTTTATGAGCTTCGTCGAGTTTTTCCTTGATCTGGTAGTCGTCTTTACTTGTTATGTTTTCGTATTCGTAGTCTGATTGTTTATCAGAATCAGATTCTTCAGGTTCATTGTCTTCGCGGACGTTCACACCTAGAAAAATTTTGTAAACTTAATGTAACACACGTGTGATTAATTAACAAATAACACTGAAATTGTTGGTTCTTTAAACATTATCAAAATCAATAAATTACGTTTCCAGGACGAAAACTGCTCATCTTCGTTTTCTTCACGCTGCAATTTTCCGTATTTGGATTCCAATCTTTGTAATAAATCGTCATCATCTTCTTCAGATTCTTCCTCATCTTCTTCTTCATCTTCGATTTCCTCTTCCTCATCTTCGTACTCTTCATCCGGTTTATTCTGATATTCGGGTTCGCTTTCTGGTGTTAAAGATCTAGTATAAGTCGTGCGCAATTCTTGGTATTTGACTTTCACCAGTTTCTCTTCTTCTTCACTTTCAACGTCCCCATCTTCATCCGAATATTCTGGTTAAACCTAAGATTATTTCGATTCGATCTGGTTACAGTTAATACCTTCTTCAATGTTTTCTTCAATATCTTGCTCTACTTCTTCGTATTTTGGTGGAACAACAATTGTGTTTCTGCGGGCAAGATCTGGGAGTTCGTCTTTTGGGGGTGTTTCAATTGGACTTGCTTTTAATAAAACTCAATTAACGTGATATTTTATGTACCAAAGCAAGAGCGGATTAATTGCAGCGTGAATTTAATCTATACCACAGTGGAAGAAAATTAATACCAGGAAATGCAATATTGTTAGTGCAAAGTTGAACAAAAAGCGAAAGGCATATACAACATACAGAAATTTTGAACGGGAATAGAAACACTTAGCATGCATTTACTGACCAGACTTCCACTTTCTAACCAGAACGACGTGGGCTACTACCAAAAGAGCCACGCCGACGCCAATCTTTACAACCACTGCAACATACAGCAGTTTTCAATTATTTGCATTTCCTGATTTACAGTTTCAAAGAACCAACAATGAAATTTCGCCCGATATTAGACAAGTATAATACTCACTTTTAGAATTTTGCTCATCTCCAACTTCCTCTTCTTCGACTTTTTCTTCGACTTCAGGCTCTTCAGCAGCTTCTTCCTCCTAAAATTTGACTTTAACATCGTTCGACGCGGCTTTAGAGGTTACCTCTTCTTTTTCTTCCTCTTTGACTTCTTCAGACACAGCCTTTTCCTCTTCTTCCTCATCTTCATCCTCCTGCTCTTCTTCTTCTTCTTCTTCTACGCTTTTTTCAACATCCTGCTCCTCATCTTCCTCATCGGCGTCTTTTAGTTCACTTTCATCTTCCTCTTCCTCTTCTTCAGTTTGGGGTGTTTCCTCAGAAGCTTCCCCTTCGTCTTCGTCTTCTTCTTCTTCTTCTTCTTCTTCTTCTTCCGCATGAGTGGTTTCTTCTGATGCTTCAGTTTCTTCCTCCTCCGCTTCTTCTTCTTCTTCTTCCTCCTCCTCCTCCTCGTGTGACTCCTCATGATCTTCCTCTTCTAGGGAGCTTACAATATGGTCGTCATCGCCATGATCATCATCATGACTTAAACTGTTATCAACCCAGCCTTCGAATAAGTGTGAAAACCTCGATTCTGTTTCCACAACATCTACTACAAATTTGCTTCAATTTAGAAGAAGAAAGCTTCAACTTTAACTTACAGTCGGTTAATCCGCGATGTTCGGTTATAATCAAGCCAATAAGTACCGCAAGAGCTGAGAATAGAAGAAAGAAGATTATTTTTGCACAAATCCCACCACCTGTTCCATCTTCTTTATGTATGTGAATATTAAGATCTTCATTTTGTGCACCAGTAGGTGATGGTGGTTGCAAGGGGACATGTTCGGTATTTTCTTCTGCAGGAAATTAATTAATAAGTAAAAAGCATGTCATTCTTTACATACAAAAATAGCTTTTTAGCGTATTTAGAATAGCCGAACTAAAAATATCTTACCTTTCTTTCTCTTTTTATCTTTGCGTTTTCGTGGTTGAACATCGCCCGACATTTTGGTGTCGGGTTATTGTTTAAGATTTAGACAACACCACCATAAAACCTCTTCTTTGATTGAAAAATATTTCGGAAGGGTATTTTCACCATGCGATAAGAGGTAGGAAACGTACGAGGAGTTTTATTTAGAACCAAAAACGACGTCGGGAGTCCACGACAAGTTCCGATTACACCTAAAATAAGTTAATTTTGCTTAACGGATTGGTGCGCGAGACAAGACGCAGAAGCTGAAAGCTGAAAGTCATCAGCAGACTGGATAACTGATTATTATCTAAATATCGAAACCAGAAAAAAATTCGCGTTTATAAATCGATATTAATTTAGTTTGATACTTGTTGATAACAGTGCATATTGATATCGTTTTACATCAGTAAAACGATTTAAACAATTTTTAAACTAAAATTATATTGTAGAAACAACAAAATTAAACATTCGAATTTAGTATATGTACAATTTTTTCTAATGTTGTAATAACTTCAGAAGATTCACAAATTTTTATTTTTTTTATTTTGTGAATTGCGGCAAAAATGTACTCAATCGTTATAATGTTTTACATACAGGATGTCCCAGCGAGTTGAAAAAATCCATTAGTGACCTTTTAATGGTTAAATTAAAAAAATTGTATAGGACATTGATATAAAATTATTTTTAACTATACAGCATGTCCCAAAAATAAGTTACAATACAAACTTGTGTTTTTTTAAAAGAAACACCGTATGTTTCTTTGCATTTTTGGATGTAGCCTTTTAAAACAATGTTTTTACGCTAAACTTTTATTAGTCAATTTCGCTTAGTTTTAGAAATAAGACCTTTTTTTTTGACGAAAACATGCCCTTTGTAAAAATTTATTACACAAAAACTAAGACAGCTAAAACAAATTTTTTCTTATTTCTGGAAAGAGGAAAGTACAGAACTTAAAGCTGTAGCATTTTTTTAGTGTTTTGCATTTGTAAAGATGAATAAATTAAGAACTTTGTTAAAAGTTAAGTAACTTAAAAAAATTAAATGGAACGCCCTAATTTTTATTTTTGCATCTAATAGATTGATAAATTGTCTATCTAAAAAAATTAACTTTTAATGTCTAGAATTGATAAATGAAAAGATATTTAACATTCAATATTATTTGTAACAACAATGCCTATCAATATCAATAGACTGTAATAGTCGTTATAAATACTGAAATTCGAATTATTTTATTGTAAAAATAAAGAATAATGGATTCAGTTTAACACAAATGTGATTATTAAATGATATTTTTTCCATCTCTTGTGCAACTGATCACTTTTTGGCTACTAAAACAATAGTAATATTTTTTTAATGTTTATAACGTTAAATATATTTTAAATACAAAAACAATAAATAGGGTGTTTCATTTAAATTTTTTAAGTTATTGAACTTTTAACAAACGCCTTCATTTTTTTATCTTTGCTTATGCAATACATTAAAAAAATAACAACCTTATAGCTTTTACCTTCTTCTTTGCGGTGTAAAAAAAAATATTTCTACCTGTCTTAGTTTTTGTGTAATATTTTTTTTAAAAGTGCATGTTTTTGTCAAAAAATTTATTAATTTATTTTTGAGACACGCTGTATAGTCAAAAATAATTTTAGGCGATGGACTAGATTAGTATCTATCAATGTCCTAATTTTTTTTTAATTTTACCATTCAAAGATCACTAATACACTTTTTCAACTCGCTGAGACACCCTGTATGTAAAGTGTTCCGAGAAATCGATTGGCGTCGAGAACTTATAGTTGAATAAATATTTTAGATATTTTTGACTTTAACAGCAATTTTCTCAATAATTATTTAACGTAGGACAATTATCTTTTTTGATACGATAAAAAATTAAATTTGCAGCAATAATTTCGATAAATAAATCGCTTCAGGCACCGAAAATCGCGCAAAATTGAAAAAAATTAAAAACTTCAAAATTGAACCATTTGCAGCGCTCTTGAGGGTTCAAGAGACTTAGAAGAGTACAAAAACGTAAAAAAGCAAGAAACAATTTTTTGAAAAATTTTGTATAAGTGTGTAATGTGAATTTACATAACGCTTGTGTTTTTACAAAAGGTTCTAATAAGTTTACATTGTAAAGTCCAAATTTGAAATAATTGTGTGATTTTACAAGAATTGTGTTGTGAATCGTTAAATATTTTTACATTAGTTTTGTGATATTAAGAAAAAATGTAAATTTTCATATCAGTTACTGCAAAAAATAAAATACAGGTATTATCTTGTAAATTTTCGTGAAATTTATTGGCCCTGAGTTGTAATTGTCCAGTAAATTTACAGCCACTTTTTTCAGTGTATGTTTTTTATTGCGTTTTTGGATTACTCAATTGATTTTGAGAGAGTTTTTATTAGCTTTCCCTACACCTAAGTTTATCCGTTTTCGAAATATCTAGACCTTTTTAAAATTTTTTGGATTTGAATTTTCCCATTCAAAAATCAATAACTCTACCATTTTTTATTATGTTGAAACCGTGTTTGGGTAGGTATACGAAAGAGAAAGGTTAGATTATTAACAAACCGCCAAAATTTTTAGGAAACTTCAAATACCCTTAACTCCATTTTTTTTTATGAAACACCCCAATTTTTTCTTCACTAAATGGAGGAGAATTTACTTCTGCTTCGATCTGTATTGATATTCCCTATACCTATGTTTGATAGTTTTCAAGTTATAAAAGTAGCTTCATTACTCATTAGCCATCATAGGTTGTCATAGAAATAAGAAAAAAAAATAGAATATCAAAGTTATTCAAATTTAAATTAAATAAATTTGATTTGTATTTATGAAAAGAATAACACAATTGTGAAAAAAATTTGGCGTTTTTTCAGTGAGGAATTTCCATGGCAAACTATGCGAAAACTACAATGGATGGTAATGAATTTGTAAAAAAAGTTAAAATAAAATCATCAAATGCAGAATTAAATTCTCTTTCATTTAGAAAAAATTGGGACCTTCCAATTGAAAAAATTCAGTTCTTATTCTAATTCAATTCAGTTATTTTTCCAATTTTAAATACGCGAAAGAAAATATCTAACCTTTCTTTTTCATATACTCAAATAGAGTTATCGATTTTTGGAGAAGAAGATGCAAATTAAAAAATATCAAAAAAGTTTAAAAATTTCAAAAACGTTTAAATTTAGGTATAGTGAAGTCTGATAAAAACTCTCTCTCAAAATTACTTGACTAATCCAAAAACGCAATTAAAAACATAACTTTCTATTGAAAATAACAAAGTTGATACCCATTTCCGGTGTGACCGGAAGTGCTGCCATCTTGAAAATATTTTCATTGAGCAGGATCTAAACGATTATGGCTATAGTCAAAATTTTAGAATTTAAAACTTTAGATCGATTAAAATTAAATTAAATACTCATTATCAGTGATTCTTATCATTGTCCATAATTCGATACTTCGATTTTATCGAGAGCAATGAATTATTATCGCCATTATGATATGGTTTTAATGGCATTTATTAATAGATCAGACTTCTACAAAACCCATAATCTAATTATTAATGATATTGTGATATTCAATTACATATTTTGATAAATCGATATCTATCAGAGATAACTGTCTAATGCCAATACGACTTTTATAACTGCCGACAAAATAAACATCAGTGGATTTATGTGTGATTATTTGTGGACAATAAAGATTATCAATTATTTTCGTTAATTAAAATACAACCTACAATTTTTGTCACGATATCGACAACGTTTTTTTGTATAATTTTGATAAAACATCATATAAAATGCGATGAAACCCACAATAATTAATATTTTTGTCTAATGATAATGCGATATTTGATTACATCACTATTATCGAGCTTTGGCCACTTGACTGATTTCTTTGGAATCGATTTTGTCTAGTTTTTGATCAAATACACTTGTAGGAACACTAATAATGTTTTCTTTGCAAATTGTATTGTGTTCTAGTTTCCCTTGGTAACACGATGCACAATATACTTTTGCCAGTCGCGTGTCGGCGGTGTGACGACCAGAAAACATCATTTCCCACGATATACTAGTGCTACTCTACCCTCTTTAAAGGGCCACCCCACCTTATTGTTAATCACATTTATATCCCAGAGTCAAAATGATTCGCTTTAGTTTTGATAATCACTAATTTTATTGCGACATACAAACAGGAAGTAGGAAAAATATTTAACTACTGTTACTTTCAATCAATTCAGTTCCTGAAATTTTCAATTTCAATGCAACCACCGTTACCGTTTTTGAGCGTATTATAGAAGTATCAAATAACTTACGGTACTTTATTATATTTAATAATAATAGTTACATCTGCTGTGGGAGAATCAGATGAAAGTCACCCTTTCAGGTAAAAAAGTGGGTGGGCATAGTTTCATCACTTCCTGTTGATCCCAAGACAAGCTGAATATATTAAAAGTGTGAGGAAGTAGAAAACTCTCAAATGAGTTAAAATTAGTGTCTGTGATAGCCCCCATTGATTGACGAAGAGGGCGAATGGGGTGCATGACGGTGGTGAGCAAGAGGGTAGTGAGTCGCGTGTAGCTGGTGTCTTGGTGGGGATAGGAGTGGGGCTAAAACGTGTCCGAACGTCGCTAGGGCAGCCGTCAGATCAACAGGGCAAGACACATTTGACGGTGGGTCGTACACGCGCGAATATGCTTTGACAGACGTCTGACACGCGTCCGCTTCCGTAACTGTCTTAGCTACAAGTGTCAAAGGTGGTGTGTGGCTACGAAGAAGCCATGGATCATTCATTATCACAGAATACGCCCCTGCATTGGGGCTACTCCGCCAACAACCCCAACGCCTCCTCCTGGCAGCCCGTCGCCAGGCCGGTCAAGAGGCCCCTCTCGGAGAGCGATGACTGCGACGATGTCTTCTCCGAGGAGTCCTCCAAGGAACAGTAAGTCCAAAATATTCAAAAATTACAAACCTATTGCACTCCACCTGTATACTTTGCCAACAACCAAATTCAGACATCCACCCGGTATACTTTGTATGAATATTTAAAAAAATACAAGTGTCAAAAGTTTTCATTCCAAATTATTTATCCTTTTACTTTTTGGATTGATAACACTAGTTTACAAATATTAACTTTATTTTTATTTTTATGTTTATTTAGCTTTAATTAAACAAAAATAATTGTTAATTTCACAGTTTTTTGTTACGAAAGATGATTTTCCTGCTTTCTGCACAAATGTTTCCGATTTAAAAAAAAATTTGTATCCGAATTATTACAAAATTATCACCAGATGAGTCTAAATGGGTCTCAAAATACTGACTCGTATTTGGAATTCTTTTCAAAACTTAGGCAGTTTGAGTGACGAACAGGACAAGCATTTTTATTTTTCAAAAATCGAGACAATAGTTTTTGGGATGAAAATATGTAAGAAGTTTAATATAAAAAAATGATCCAAAAAAAGTATAAAAAAAAAGAAAATAACTCATTTTTAATTTGTTGTTTGGCATTTTTGTTAATTATATTACATATTTCTTAAACGTAATGTGGTGGACTTTTTTAAATATTTTTTTTGAACTCAGTGCCCCAAAATCTATAAGAAATTATAACTTTCAACCAAGGTATAAAATTGTGTAAACTAGTGTTATTATTATTACCTTTAAACAAAAATAGTAGTTAATTTTTTTATCACAGTTTTTTGTTACGAACGATAATTTTCCTGCTTCCTGCACAAATGCCTCCGACTTAAATTTATTTAAAATTCAAATTGGTGCTGAATTATTGCAAAATTATTACCATGCGAGACCCAGTATTTGGACTTCTTTTCTAAAAACTTAAACAGTATGACAAGGTTTTTGGGATGAAAATATGTTAGGAGATTACTATTGAACTATATAAAGAAAACTGATCCAAAATTATAAAAAACAAAGTAAAATGACTCAATTTTAATTCGAGACGTGGTGGGCATCTATAAGAAATTATAACTATCAGCTAAAAATCGTGTAAACTATAGTGTAGTTTAAGTCACATACATACTTTATTTTATTTTGTGTTCAACAAATTTCTACCACAATTGTCAAATAATTTGATTTTTTTAATTTTTTTGAGGTCTTTTAAAAATTCGAAACTGATTACATATAACTTTTAGTTATTAACTGTTAGTAACATTTAGACTGTATTTAACTATAAGTGAAAATAAAACATTAACATTGCAGTTTTCTGTTACAAATGATAATTTTCCTGCTTTCTGCACAAATGCCTCCGACTCAAAATTTATTTAAAATTCAAATTGTTACAAAATTATTACCATATGGGTCTAAATGGGTCTTAAAATACGTTTCATGGAGTCGAATTTGGACTTTAACAGCAAAATCTGGAAGGTTTTTGGGATGAAGGGATAGGAGATTAGTGTTGAACTATATAAAGAAAACTGATCCAAAAAAGTATAAAAAACAAAGTAAAATAACTCAAATTTATTTTGTTGTTCTTAATCGTGACATGGTGGGCTTTTTTTTTTAAACATTAACATGCTTTCTGCACAAATGCCTCCGACTTAAAATTTATTTAAAATTCAAATTGTTGCTGAATTACCAGATGGGTCAAAATGGGTCTTAAAAAATATATCTGATTGAGTCGCATTTGGACTTCTTTTATAAAAACTTAAACACCATGATCGATTGATTGGGACAAGGTTTTTGGGATGAAAATATGTTAGGAGATTACTGTTGAACTATATAAAGAAAACTGATACAAAAAAGTATAAAAAACAAAGCAAAATAACTCAATTTTAATTTGATGTTCTTAATTGTGAAGTGATGGGCTTTTTAAATTTTTTTTTTAAACTCAGTGCTTCAAAATCTATAAGAAATTATAACTTTCAGCTAAAAATCGTGTAAACTAGTGTAATTTAATTTATTTTATTTTGTGTTCAATAAATTTCTACCACAATTGTCAAATAATTTAATTTTTTTTTTTTTTTTTTGGGATTTTTAAAAGTTGGAAACTGGGTACGTATTAGCTTTTAGTGACATTTAGACTGTATTTAATAGTAATAATAATTGAAAACAAAACATTAACATTGCAGTTTTCTTAAATCACTCCTTCATAGACTAGAAAATTCAATGAGTTAAAAGAAAAACAAAAGTAGAAAAAACCGATTTTAAAGTTTTTTTTTTAAACTAAAAATAAGTAATTACAAATCTTGAATAAACGTTTCACTGTTTTATTTAGTTTGAATTATTTTAATTTTATTGGATGTGGTTTTGCAAAATGGGTGGAGCCAACCAGTAAAAAGCGAAAGATAATTAAGTACACAAAAAAGTTGAAACACTTCAATAAATCTGAGTGTGATTCGTTCGTTGCCCAATTATAATTCAGGAATCAAAGAAGATTGTGTGGTCATTTTTTTTGCATTTTTATTTTTAAAATAATAATAATTTTCAATGTGTAATGTCATTTTTTCTTATCAGATGTACGTCTCCTGGCGACGCCGACAGCTGCCAAATGTTATCACGGAAAAAACGAAGAGGAGTGATAGAAAAAAAACGTCGTGATCGTATAAACATGTCCTTGTCGGAACTGAAACGGCTCGTCCCCAGTGCATTTGAAAAACAAGGTTCCGCTAAACTGGAAAAAGCGGAAATTCTTCAAATGACTGTGGATCATCTCAAAATGATCCATGCAAAAGGTAAGTTGGTAAAAAGTAAAAGTGGCGTAAAGATAAATTTTGGCACGTCGCTAATTGAAAGAAAGAAAAATAAAAAAAATAAAATAAATAGAATCCAGTCCAGCCAAAGGCTAGTTCACTCAACCCCAAAAAAGTAATAATAATTAGTGTTGGGCGATTATGAATGATATAATCCAAATATTTCGATTATGTCCGAATAATCGAAAATTCGATTATACAGGGTTCGCCAGAACTCGCGCCCCAGAGAAAATTTTCAAGTAACATAAGATACTAGGAACACGGAAAAAATGATAATGATACTGATGATCTTGTATATATATGTTTTTTTACAATTATTTAGTAAAAGTACAAAAGTTTTGCCAATAAAAGCCATAAATAACAGAGTTACAATTTAGGATATAGCTTCCTTGTTTCTTTTTTTAATAGCCTATAGCAAAAAAACTTGGAAAATTATTTTTCCAACAGAAATAAATAGAGTCAAAAAGCAAAATTTAAACCCTCATAACATTCTTACCTTACATTTTTCTCTGGGGCGCGAGTTCTGGCGCAACCTGTATTTTAGAAATCATTGATAATCGTAATTCGATACATTCATTTCATTCCCAACACTCTCCTTGTTCGAGATATTTCATTATCTAATTCAATATTCATTTTTCGAATGATCCAATAAAAAAACTAACGAAATAATCGTGGTGGAAAAGTGGGGAATAATCGAAGTTGCGAGTAAATTTTTTTGTTATATGTACTGGTGCTTCATCAGTTGTTAGTGACATTTGACAGCAAGAAAGATTACAAGTTTAATAACTATCATTACAATGGGTCATTAATTTCTTTTTTCAATATTTTTATTTCATTTATTCAAATTTATTGGTTATTACTTTAATTCATAATTTCATATTTCGTCATGACACGCATGCGCACTGGACAATAATCCATCATTCGATTATTTCGATCAGGGGCGGACTGGCCAGTGGCGGGCCCTCGAGTTTTACGGGCCCCCAATTATGGTAGGTCAAGAGCTCATCGAAATAATATCAATAATTCTAAATTTGTAAATAAACTTTCCACAATCCATGAAGTGCTGAACTACGTTTTTTTTTTAGTTTGAAGGAATTAAAAAATTGCTATCATAACAAATAAAACTATAATGTCTATAATTTCAATTATTTTAGCTCAATTTTGTTTATAAGGTCTTACACGCATGTAAGAAAAATTCCGCGCGGATTTATACAAGTGATTCAAAAATTTGTGTGATAATTTTAATTACGAATACTCCTCTACAAATGAGCATAGATAGCACAGCATTTATTAATCCAACTCATCAAGTAAAAGAAAAAAAAAGAATAGAAAAATTACAGTTTTTATAATCATCAAGAAATAAACAAATGTTCCTTTGGATTTAATGAAATTTACATTAAATATGAGAGCATTGATTCTTTCCAAGGTACACTCAAAATTTATAAATTCTGATTTTGCAGCGCGGTGTAGAATTTAGTTTAAACTCAAATAATTCGAAAACGGTACATTTTGGCTATATGAAACTAAAAAAAAAATGTTTGGGCTGTATCAAAAACAGAAATTAATAAGCCGAAAAAAAGTTATGATCCCAAAACTGGGAGGACCCATTATTACCTACAAGACCGTTTACACCAAATCAAAGAGTGTCTTTTTGTCCATGCAAAATTTAATAATCGGATAAACGGTAACAAAAATATTTCCAGAAAATCATCGACTTTTGGAAAGTTGTAATTTTTCAATTTTTTGAGATGGGTCAATAAATACTAATACTATTCTCAATTGTAGAGGGGTATTCGTAATTAAAATTATGCCACACATTTTTTAATCAACCGATATAAAATAGCGTTTTTACTTAATTTAATGTAATTTTATTTTTTTTTTATTATTAGTGGGCATAAATAACATAAAAATCTAAATATAAGTATAAATTTGGTGCACAGAAACAAAAAACTTTATTTTCGTTTATTAAACCATCATGATTTCAACTGACGTCACAATCTCAATAAAAAATTACTACATTAAGTGACAAGTAGTTATACATATTTTTATTGTATTGTATATTGGGCCCTCATTTCAACTTAGCATTCCATATAAAAATTTGCCAAACCGCCCCTGATTTCGATTATTAAAAATGATAAAAAAATAAAAATTAAAGAGTAGAGAAAAACGTGATTAACATTAACATTCTCATAATGAATTAAGAAAAATAAATAACAATAATAAAAATCACATCTACCGGGTTAATTTTCCCTGTGACCGGTAATGTGATAAAATCGTAAAAATGAGTGTGGGTCTAGCAGGTGAATGAAGGGTTGACCGCGTGGGAACAGTGTGCCAGCTGTGTGCAACCCGTGGGAATAAACTCGCAACAGGTTTCTAAGCCTAGTTGGTATTTTGTTCCAGGTTTGGACGCCTTCGCGTACGACCCCCACAAATACGCAATGGACTACCACGGAATGGGCTTCCGGGAGTGCGTGGCAGAGGTGGCCCGATATTTGGAACGCATCGAAGGCCTCGACGTCCAAAATCCGTTACGGTTGCGTTTGACTTCGCACCTCCAATGCTGTGCAGCCCAGCGTGAACTCGCCTCGAAACAAACGACGTCCGCGCCGTGGGGCTACAGCTCCACCCAACCGTACCCGCCACTGAACACGCTTCCGCCCTCGCCGGTGCCCAATCACGTCAACCATCAGCCCTTGCCCCACCAGAACATGCACGAGTTGGGGCACTTCGATGCGCCGCAGACCTCCGCTCCGGCCCCCACGAGCGACAGACTAGCCCCCGCCTCCACTGTCTTAACACCCCTGACCACGACGACGTCCTCAGCGCTGGCCTACAGCCCCCATCAGTACCCCAACACTTTCACAATACCCACGTCCAGTCACCATCAGAATTACAACCAAAGCAATATTCCCACGTCGCAAGGGATGAAGCCCTACAGGCCGTGGGGCACCGAACTTGCCTATTAACTAAACAAGTGCCAGTCTACAGTGCCTCAAGTGATAATGATTTTTAATTAGTTGCTCGATTTGGGCCACCTTCCCCTAATTATTTTGCACGGGAGTGAGGTTTTAGTCATTTTGTACCTATTCGAGTCTTATTTATTTTTAGTCTAGACATTCCCAAATAAAAATATTTTTATAGACTTTAGCCCTCGAGGCATATTTTTGTATATTGTATATGATCTCACGTCAGATGTGAAGTTTGTTGTGATTTAATTTTAGCAATAAATCATTTTCTATAACGCCTGTTTCTGTTTCAAATCAGTGAAAAATCAAACGGACAACCTCTCCTTTTTGCGTCCTAAAAATTTCAGAAATATATATTTTTTTTTAAATACAAAAAATTCCAAAGTTATGAGAGTTTAATTTAAATCTATTTATTTCTGTTGGAAAAGTAACTTACCAAGTTTTTTTGCTACAGGCTATTATTATAAGAGGCTTTTGTGGCTTTTATTGGCAAAATTTTTATACCTTTACTAAATAATTGTAAAAAAATATACAGGTGCGCCATAACTCGCGCCCCAGAGAAAAATTTCAAGTAAGGAACATGAAAAAAATGTTTCTGTCAAAAAATTTTGATATTTATTTTGTGGCATTTGACATTTTTTTTATATCTATTTAATGATATTGATGATTTTGTATACAGGGTGCGCCAGAACTCGCGCCCCAGAGCAAAATGCCATATAAGGTAAGATACCAGGAACATGGAAAAAATGTTAAAAAAATTTAATCTATAAAAATTTCGAAATTATGAGGGTTTAAAGTTTGCACTTTGATTTGGGAATTTAAGTCTTTAAGTTTATTTATGCTACACTTTGAGTTCCTGCGTTGGTTAAGTTTTAAGGGGAAAAATGGGAAAAAGTTACGATTTATTTTATAAATATTTTATCTTAATTAATATGTATTACCAGTATTACCACACAGGTATTTTATTTTTTATTAATAAATTTGAGAACGCAGAACATTAAATGACTTATACCCCAGAGAAAAAAACGGTAAAATACCAGGAATATGAAAAAAATTCTATCGATAAAAATTTCGAAGTTACGCGAGTTTAAATTTTGCACTTTGACTCTATTTATTTCTGTTGGAAAAATAATTTCCCAAGTTTTTTTTGCTATAGGCTATTAAAAGAGGAAACAAGGAAGCTGTATCCTAAATTGTAACTCTGTTCAATGTTATTTGTGGCTTTTATTGGCAAAATTTTTGCCCCTTTACTAAATGATTGTAAAAAAACATATACAAGATCATCAGTATCATTAAATAGATATAAAAAATGTCAAATGTCAAAAAATAAATGTCAAATTTTTTTGACAGATAGAATTTTTTAAACATTTTTTTCATGTTCCTGGTATCTTACCTTACTTGAAAATTTTCTCCGGGGCGCGAGTTCTGGCGAACCTGTATGTTTTTCTACAATTATTTAATAAAGGTACAAAAATTTTGCCAATAAAAGCCACAAATAAAATTGAAAAGTTTTCAGCTACAATTTTCTTTGTTTCCTTTTCTAATAGAGTGTAACAAAAAAACTTGGAAAATTATTTTTCCAACAGAAATAAAAAGAGTCAAAGCGCAAACTTTAAACTCTCATAACTTAGAAATTTTTATAGATACAATATTTTTAACATTTTTTTTCATGTTCCTGGCATCTTACCTTATATGAAATTTTTTTTGGGGCGCAAGTTCTGGCGCACCTGTATACGAGATCATCAGTATCACTAAATAGACATAAAAAAATGTTAAATATCAAAAAATAAATGTCAACATTTTTTGACAGAATTTTTTCCATGTTCCTGGTATCTTATCTTACTTAAAATTTTTCCCTGTATATTGAAACAAGTGGTTAATTTAAATTTTGATCAGGAATGACTAACACGGAAATAAAAACATACAGAGTGTCAACTAACTACAAAGTTAGTGAAATTTTGCTTTTTTATTAGAAATAGGATAATTTGTTTAAATTTCATTTAAGTAAAATTGAATTTTCTAATTCGTCTAAAATTTGATTTTTGAAAATTATGTGACATTTTGTATGGAATTTGAAGGGCAGTGCCCCTGTTTTGGTTATTGTTTGTGGCGCTTTTTTATTTTTTTTTCCATTGAAACTCATTGGTGCAAAAAGGTGAATTTTTGAAAACCCAGGTGATTGACGTAGTAGTAGAAGGGTTGAATAGACGTAAAGATAATAAAATGTCGGTCCAACCCTTCCTTGCGAACCTTTGTGTGTTTCGCAACGCATTACAAACTAGTAAAACTGGACCAAACCCTGGATTTAAATTTCGGAACTGGCCCCTTATTTGCGGATCAGAAACCTGTTTTGGAAACATTGCGAACTCTTCACGCGGAAAGCAAATCTCAGATGACAATAGAGCAAAAGCGTCAATTATTTTCATTTTTAAAAAATACTTTTATTATGCTTTTCCACCTAAAATAGGCAACGGTTGCTTGCACGTGTTCTTTTAGAAGGGGGCAAAGAGGAAGCGCTAATACCGGCACTTGCACTTAACAAAGCCCGAGTTGCGGAATTTTGCTATAATTAAGTCCGACACGGATTTCCACTCGAAAATCCCAAAATGCAAGGATATCTCAGTGCAAACAAATCGATGGGTGATAAAAAGCGAATGCAAATAGCGTTTCGTTTGCGTTTAGTGCGTAGGGTATGGGGTTGTAATGACATGACTCGGTTAGGGTGGCGGAACGTGGGAAATAGTTGGGAAGCCGACTCTCATACGTAGTATGGAAGTAGCGCACGCCATTCTCCATACTTTATACCACACTTGCGACATCACGAACCATACAAAAGGGAAGTTAAACTCCCTCAATTCGGGCCAAAACCCAAAACAGGGATTTAGACTAAGACGAAGCTTACTATTCGTGTTTAACTATTTCGATTCAATGGGAAAAAATAATATCCCCTCTAGCACCCGCATGTTTGCTATCAGGTATACATACACCTGCTGAATGATTTCTGTTTATGTTTGCATTATTAATAGCAGAAAGTTGGTTTGTTTAAAGACCAAAATTTGCTATTTTTTGACTTGTTCTAGAAATATTAAAGCTTGATTTTAACGGAATTTTTTCTTTCTTTCATGTTAATATTTACATAGTTTAGCACTTTTCTATATCCGGAACGTTTAAAATAAATTATTTAATTTAAATTCTTTGCCAAATATTTATCCCACTATTATCATTAGAGCCATCAACAAACTAAATTATTTGCATAATTAATAAGATTTACGAAAATTCGACTAAGTGGGACAGGGCCGGACTTAAGCAAATTTGGTTAACTCCTTGCCTCATTTATCACCTTGACACACCACTTATCATTTTGTTATTTTGATAAACGTCATCTGACATGTTTCATTTTGTCATCAAAATTTTATTAAAACATATTTTAATAATTGAAGAAAGACATAAAAACGATTCCTAGGATTAAATTTGCTTTCCAACGGTACCAAAAAAAAATTGCGAAAATCGCCGAAAATTAAAAACTGCATAACTAAACCATTTGCACTCTTGGGGGTTCAAATGACTTAAAAATGTACAAGAACGTTCGAAAAATGCAAGAAATAAATTTTTGAAAAATTGTGTGTAAGGTAAAGAATTAAAACATTGAAGCTGTCGGCGGCGTGGTAGTGTAGCGGGGTTCAAACCCGGCTCAAGTCAGCAATTTTTCACTAATTCAAATTCAAGTATTAATTCAAATTAGCAATAATTAAAATATTATTATGTGCATGTTCTAATATGTATAATAAGAGAGAGAGAGAGAGAGAGCGCAAATAAGAACGCAAAGCATAATAAGAAAGAGAAAAAAAACTTGATTATTTCGTCAAGTTTTTAAAAAAAAAAAATCGAAAAACCACCAAATTGGTTAAAAATATGTAGTTCTGTTTGTGTTTTTACAAGACTTTACTAAACAGGATCGAAAATGACAATTTATTTATGTCTTTTTCAAATATTTTTTCAACTAGAAATGCAAAATTCGTTAAAAACAATCCAAAAATTAAAAAATTCGTCCAAAAACGACGTTATTTTTGCCCTTTTAAAGCAAGTTTTTGAGATAAAAACAAAGAAAATTTAAAAAATTTCGTTAAAACAGGCAAAAAAATTACAAAATTAAATCGAAATTGATATTATTTTTAGCTTTAGCTTAAAAATCACAAAAACAATTGATATTGATGTTATTTTGTTTTACTCGGTCTAACTTTTTGAGAAAAATAAGTCGATAATTTTTTTAAGTACGTTTCAGTACCACAGTCTCAGTTTTTTTGCAAGATTTCGCTAAAACGGACTAAAAAATCAATATATTAAGTCGAAAATTACATTAATTTTGCTATTCTGCAGGGTTTTAGCATGTTTTTCAGCTACAAACTCAATTATTTCGACAAATTGATTAAAAACAAGCCAAAAAAAATACAGAATAAGGCCGAAAATGATATATAATTTTTTCCTTTTTGGAAAGTTCAAGCAGATTTTTAAACTGAAAACTCTGTTCTTTCACAAGAGTTTACCATAGCGTGTCAAAAATCACTAAATTGTTATAAAAAAAAGATTATATTATAATATTTTGACCTAACTCTTAAGCTTTAACTTGATTACTTCGTCAAATTTTCTGGCAGAAAAAAAAATAATCGAAAACCACCCAAAAATTGGTCAAAAATAGTTTCTAGATGTTTTTTACAATATATTACTAAACAGATCGAAAGTAACAACTTATTTTAGTTTTTTTGAATGCTTCTTCAGCTAGAAACAGTATTTTGCAAAATTTTGTCTAAAAAAACACAAATTCAATAAAATAGCCCAAAAACGGCGATTTTTTTGTCTTTTTCGAGGATTTAAGGATGTTTTTGAGAGATAAAAACACAAAAAGTTCGAATTATTGCATTGAAACATGCTAAAAAATTATAACATTAAATCGAAATTTTTTAACTTGTTTCGCCCAACTTACTTCGTTTATTTTGTAAATTCATCTTGTCCAAACACGCGTAAATATCACAAACAGGACTAATATCGATGTATTTTTTTTTGCTTCACTCGAATTTAACTAGTTTTGAGCAAAAATAAGCTGAGAAACCACAAAATTTGGCCGAAAATGCTTGCACGTTTTTTTTTTTGTACTAAAATCGCAAGTTTTTCGCTAACAAAAACTAAATAATCAAGAAATTAAGTCTAGAATTACATTATTTTGCATTTCTCGAGCGTTTTAGCACGTTTTTCAGTTAGAAACACAATCATTTCGCAA